ACTCACTGACTCAATCACTTTACTTACTATAACTTATACTTCAAACAAGAATATTTACAAATATTATTAGTGTTAGGTGATCATGTGTTATGCTATTTCGTCATTTAAGTTTTAACCTATTTTTAAGTTATATCAATAATGTCTTTGTTTGCATGTCTACACAAGTTATAAAATTGTTTTGGCCTCAAGATAAGCTATTCTGACCTATCCATTGCCCTTGTAAGTACTCTGTTTAGTCATGTGTACACAGCAGGCGATCGCCCACAGAAGTTGCCAGATGATTGTTTATTTCATGCGTGAGCCTTGACTTAACCTGTCAGTCAGCTGGACCTTTCAATGGCTGCCACACATTGCTTAGTTACAGTGTTGTCGGCCAGAGAACAAATGTAAGCCAGTGCTTATATAAGTAAGTACTGGGCAATTAGTCTTCATTGTACAGTTGCCAGTCCTTATGCCATGATTATGATTATTATTATTAATATTATTGCAATAATATAATCACATTATTGATACATGTATTATTATTACATTTAAATCTTGTAAGCTGATCTGTTTATGTGCAAAAGCCAAATTGAACAGCCCTGTGTTTTTCAGGTGTAATAAAGTAATGTCAAACCATGAGACAGTATTTTTGTTCTCAAGAAATATTTTCAAAGAAAAGATATTGAGCAGTTAATAAATAAAAACATTTGTATACATGTACGTCCCTGGCATACTTTTAACTGAGGATTAGCGGTAACTAAGACACATCAGTTGACCAATTGAGCTGCTACTGTTCAGTGTATCTAGATGACATGGAGAGGTAGATCCCACAGACTCCATGATGAATGTTCTCCCCAAGTTGAGCTCCGTGAATTGTGTAGACAGCCTTGCACTCAGCGGTCGTGTTGTGCCCAGTCGTATCAACTAGGTCATATCATGGTATATTACCAATGCATTTATTCATAATTTTGTTATAATTTTATGTCTATGATTAAACTATTGTGCAAACTATGTTGTGTTATGTTGTCTGTTGTTGAGTGAGTGAGTGAGTTTAGTATTATGCCACACTCAGCAATATTCCAGCTATATGGCGGTGATCTGTAATTAATTGAGTCTGGACCAGACAATCCAGTGATCAACAGCAAGAGCATCGATCTGCGCATTTGGAAACCGATGACATGTGTCAACCAAGTCAGCGAGCCTGATCACCCGATCCCGTTAGCCGCCTCTTATTACAAGCATGGGTTACCGAAGATCAATATTCTAAGCCGTACCTTCACTGGTACTGTTGTTGTTGAAGACAGCTGGAATAGGTTCCCAGGTTTGATGCTTGAGCCCTGAACATGTTAAACTAGGGTACTTGTTACCCTGCCTGGCTCTTGGCACTAGGATTAAAACAAGGACTGGTTAGGATACTGTGTCTGACTGGAGTTTACATGTTAAACTAGGGTACTTGTTACCCTGCCTGGCTCTTGGCACTAGGATTAAAACAAGGACTGGTTAGGATACTGTGTCTGACTGGAGTTTACATGTTAAACTAGGGTACTTGTTACCCTGCCTGGCTCTTGGCATTGTTTACTGGGATACTGTGTCTGACTGGAGTTTACATGTTAAACTAGGGTACTTGTTACCCCTGCTGGCTCTTGGTGTTAGGGTTAAAACAAGGACTGGTTAGGATACTGTGTCTGACTGGAGTTTACATGTTAAACTAGGGTACTTGTTACCCTGCCTGGCTCTTGGTGTTAGGGTTAAAACAAGGACTGGTTAGGATACTGTGTCTGACTGGAGTTTACATGTTAAACTAGGGTACTTGTTACCCTGCCTGGCTCTTGGCTCTTGGTGTTAGGGTTAAAACAAGGACTGGTTAGGATACTGTGTCTGACTGGAGTTTACATGTTAAACTAGGGTACTTGTTACCCTTGTTACCCTGCCTGCCTGACTCTTGGTGTTAGGGATAAAACAAGGACTGGTTAGGATACTGTGTCTGGATACTGTGTCTGACTGGAGTTTACATGTTAAACTAGGGTACTTGTTACCCCTGCCTGGCTCTTGGTGTTAGGTTATTAGGGTTAAAACAAGGACTGGTTAGGATACTGTGTCTGACAGAAGTTTACATGTTAAACTAGGGTACTTGTTACCCTGCCTGGCTCTTGGTGTTAGGGATAAAACAAGGACTGGTTAGGATACTGTGTCTGACTGGAGTTTACATGTTAAACTAGGGTACTTGTTGTTACCCTGCCTGGCTCTTGGCATTAGGGTTAAAACAAGGACTGGTTAGGATACCGTGTCTGACTGGAGTTTACATGTTAAACTAGGGTACTTGTTGTTACCCTGCCTGGCTCTTGGCATTAGGGTTAAAACAAGGACTAGTTAGGATACTGTGACTGACTGGAGTGTACATGTTAAACTAGGGTACTTGTTGTTACCCTGCCTGGCTCTTGGCATTAGGGTTAAAACAAGGACTAGTTAGGATACTGTGTCTGACTGGAGTGTACATGTTAAACTGTGGCATGGTATCTAAGTGGGCCAGCACAGTAACACCGGCATGTCTGGACATATACTTGCATGCATACCTCTTTGTGAGTTAAATAATCCTAAGCACAATGCTGTACATCATTTCACTTGTCTATTGTTTGGTGTAAGAGGTAAACAACTTGGATTGGATGGTGTTGGCTGGATATCTTGGTTGGTAGGGTCTCATCTTACGAACATGGCATTGGACAACTCATTATGGAGGTATGTAAATGACAGAGTCTGAATCAGACAATCCAGTGTTTGATATTGTTAAAAAGTTGATTCATGCCAGTCACCCAGTCTGACCATCAGATCTATATACTCCCCTCTTCAGACCAGCATAGGTTGTTAGGAAACAATTCTGACCTGGAACCTCCAAGTGTGTAATGATATAAACCTTTGGTTTGTCTAGAACAGGATTTACTTTTTTACACATTAATGTGATAAATTGTATAATATTGCTGACTATGTCTAAACACTGTGAACTTGAAGACATGATGAGAAGCCCCGGTGGACATAAGCATGTGTGCTGATGGAGGAGATACATAAGAATATCATATCACATCTCCACCTGACAGTCGTGTTCCCATCACTGTAGTAATCAAAGTTGAAAGGTCCAACTGACCATGAAGTCACACAAAGTTTTCCATAATTCAAACAATTGTGACCCCTCTCTGAGATTGCCTGCATTTTGTCTCTACCCTTCCAACTGCTGTACGTTCCTAAAAAGTAATGAAGACATTCAGACATTCACCAAAACTTGTATGTCAAAGCCAGAAATTGCCACTTAGAATTTCCTTTCAAATTTATAAAATTTAAAATTCTCAGAAAACCAGGGCAGTGGGGTAGCCTAGTAGTTATAGCTTGCAATTCACTCACTTGTCAAACTAAAGACCCAGGTCTTCACAATGTGTGAAGCCCATTTCTGGTGTCCCCCGAAATTATATTGCTGGAATATTGCTAAAAGCTGTGTAAAACCATACTCACTCACTCATTCAGAAAACCACTGGGTTTGTCTTAAGCAGGGTCTCATTCCACATGTGATCTCACTACAAAGTTTGTAAGGCTATTTTTTAGTTTGTTTGTTTGATGTTTAATGCTGCATTCAACAATACTCCAGGTATATTAGTAAATAATCCAGTTTACACCAGGCAATCCAGGAATTACATCATGAGCATGGACCGATGCAGCTGGGCTATGATGACATGATCAACCAAGTCAGCAGACTGGACCTTCCAATATCATTAGCTGCCAAGCATGGGTTCCTCATGGGGGTAACTCAAATATGGCAAGGTGAAATCACCTTGGTTGGAGGACCCCGTACACCTTGGGGAGTCTTACAAGAAAATATTGATATGAGGATTATGGGAGTCATGTGAGTGCACCTGGGTTAGAGGACCCAGTACACCTTGGGGAGTCCTCCAAGAAAATATTGATATGAAGATTATGGGAGTCATGTGAGTGCACAATGAATGTCACAGCAAACCAATGAGGATTTGAAAGTCACTTTCATTTTGGTGATGACATATTATTAGGACCTGGGTGCTGTTGTATAAAACAACCCTAGCACTAAAATAACCTTATCTTAGCGCTAACCTAAGGCTTTTGCTAAGGTTGCCGCTAAGTATCCTTCCAACATTAGGTGAGGTGAGGTGAAATTGGGTTTTACATCGTGCTTGAGAATATTTCGCTCATATGACGACGTGCATGCGCGTGTATGTGTATGTGCGGCTGCTTGTACTAGCCCAGACTTAAGCTGGTTTTATAGTGCTAGCCCACTGAGATACCATGCCGCAGTGAAGCATGAATACCCCACTCAGACACATTATACTGACTCCGAGCCGACCATTCCTTGTTGTACCCATTAATGCCAAGAGCCAGGCAGGGACCAACAAGTACCATATTTTAACATCTTTTGGTATGACACGGTCGGGGATCGAACCTGCGACCTTCCGCTCTCCGGGCGGACGCTCTAACCACTATACCACGGAGGCGGTCTCCAACATTAAGGTTGACCAAAGGTAGATTTGTGCAAAGGGCATAACTTTTGTTAAGGTTATCTTAGGGTTAACCTTAGTCACTAAGTTCAACCTTAAATGTTGTTTTGTATAACGGCACCCTGATGGCATGGATTGTTGTTTGTGTGAGCCAGGGACTATTTCATCACTGTGCAACTCTGTTCTTACATCTTTTGCCATAAACCCGTGAAGGTCCGGGTTATAATATTGATCTTCAGTAACCCATGCTTGTCGTAAGAGGCAGCTAACGGGATCGGGTGATCAGGCTCGCTGACTTGGTTGACACATGTCATCGGTTCCCAATTTCACAGATCGATGCTCATGCTGTTGATCACTGGATTGTCTGGTCCAGACTCGATTATTTACAGACCGCCGCCATATAGCTGGAATATTGCTGAGTGTGGCGTAAAACTAAACTCACTCACTCACTCTTTTGCCATTATAAAGATAATTAAGTTTATTTCAAGAAAATGACAAGAAGATAACTCTTTTCATCACACAGGTTTATTAACCTCACAAAGCTTATTCATACATACATGTTTATTACAGAGTTAGCACAAAACACACCCCTGACAAATTATGTATAAACATATAGATGCATCAATACTGATAAAATCTGACAAATTAGCACAAATACTTTTGATTTCTGTGCATGTTCAAGATTTGAAAATGAAACATTTCAAAAGTCAATAGACCAACAACATGATGTATGCCTCACAAATATATAATTCAAAGAAACTCAAAGTTATAAATATACATGCTTATAGGGCATTAAATAGAGAATGTACAAAAAAAACATAAAACATTCAAATTGTAATACTGTAAATAACCATATAAACAAATATGGTAATCTGAAATCCAGATGAAATCTATTTTGTTCCCTTTGATTGGTCTCCTACCACAAAAACATTTGCGAAACAAATTGGTAGCAGCTACGGGCCATTATATGAATTCATGTTTATATCAGCGCTCCTACTGTAACACAAAGAACTGATTTTAAAACTTGAGCAATGCTCTCGTCTTTGGCAAAGGTTATTGTACATGTACACAATGTGACAAATTAAACTCTATAATACATAACAGTGGTAAAAAGCTGCTTTGTACAAAATACACAATGTGACTGAGGAAGGTTTTGATCATGAAATGTTTTTTTGTTCTGTGCATTGAACAATGTGTTTTGATTTGTTTGTGTCAGTTGCCATGGATACCTATTCTTGAACATCAACAATGAGTGGGGCAAGGTACTGGCTGTGGCGGATTCCAAAGGAGAAGTCGGGTTCCTTCGTCTTGTGGATCCACACCTAGAAAGATAAAAACTCCCTGTCATAAACCATCCACAGACACATGCCAAGTAGGAGAGAAAGAGGTATCATCAGACTCCTTCAAAGAAGAGGCAAAATTGGAAAAAACAAACTTCAGTGAGATTCAGTAATAACATTCATTTTAAGTTACAAAGGAAGTTCCAGATGGTCAGTTGTTAGTGCGTGGGCTTGCTATGCAAGTCATGAGTTTGATTTCCCATTTATTAAGCCAATTCTTGGTATTTCCTGACCTAACATTGCCAGATGTTATAAAAAGGGTGCTCACTGGTCAATCCAGAAAGGAGTGCAAGGAGTGCACACTTCCAATCTATCACTCATCTTTTATGTCAACCTGAGACACACCCTCTGGTACTGCTCAGTGCTCACTCATTTTATGAAAATCCTTGAAGTGACTCTGGTATTAGTTCCTATGCTGATATTTTGGTGACCAAAAACCTGACTTTTCCTACCAATGTTTCACTTCAAGATACACTATCAGAACCGTCACAGATGGAGACTTACATTCTCTGGTGAGTGAGCTCCTGGTCCTGGCTTCTTGGTGGTGTCCCCTGGCATGATGTTCCTGCTGGTCATGCTGTACAGAGGGGCCTTGTTCTTGAACGTGCTGGGGTCAGTGGTGGTGTATGTACCAGGTCCGGGGGCCTGAACAGCAACACCAACAGCAGTCAGTATATAATTATATATATATATTTCCTATGATCAGAAATCGACAAGTGGTCTGCTGAATTGAATGAAGCCCATGTAAAATACATTCAAGACTTCAACAACAGTTCTACATTTATCTCAATGGCACAGTGAGCAGAGTGTTCTCTGTTTGTATATTTCTTACCTGTGTAGAATTTATTTATGAAATTCATCCCCATAGCTAACTATAGAATACTGAATTCATATTGTAACAACTTCCTTACCAGCTTGCTCACTGTCTAAAATATTAAAGACATTATCAGAGCAATGTTCATCTTGGCTAACTATTAGATGAGCAACATTTCCAGGTGTGAAATTCAACTGTCCTCAATTCTATTGTCCCAAAAGATGTGAACAGTTTTCAATGAACAATAGAAGTATCTGCTTACCCTAGCCAGATCCTCAGCAAAGCCTCCCGTGGTCTGTCTCCCAGAGAGACTGTGACAAGCTGCCTGTCTCTTCCCGCTCTGGACTGTCTTGCCGATCATGTTGGGCAATGTGTAGCTGTTGGCCGCTGTAACATACACAATAGTTCTAACAATCTTTTTATCCAAATTCCAAAAGTATTAACACTGTATGTTTCAGGGATGAACTGTTACTTTGTATTGCGCATGGTTACATTGATTACATCTGGGTGGTACAGTGGTACTCATGCAGTGAGAGAGCACTGATGAATGCTCACACTTTCAACCACTGGATTGCCTGGTACAGATCTGAACCCACTGCAGTCCATCAGGATTAAAATTCAATGTCTTTAAGATGTTTCTCATTTCTTTAAAACCTTTGTTAATTTATGTCCAGCACTATGCAAAGAAACTCTCTCAGTTGATTTCATGAGGTGGATAAACTTTTCATTTGTTGGATAGTCTGTGTAATAAGCTTTCTCTGATGAGCATAGTGTTTATATGTCACAACATAGGATTGACCTTCCACAAACTCCTTAGTTTTCTTCAAACAAAATTCACAGTATCTCTTCTCATGGGGAATTTTATTCAGTCTTCCAGTCTCAACATATTACCAACTTTGATCAAACCTACACTTTGATAAATAACACTTAATACATGTACATACTTTCCAAGGATGCTGAGAGCAATTGTTGAACTTCACATTAAAACATTGCAACCTCAACCTGTACGACATCTTAAGTGATATACAATATTCTTAATTGAAGTAGTCAGTGAGTGTCCTCTACCATCATCAAGAGATGATGTAAGCCTAATGTGGTAGTCTTTCATTGTTCAGGTGAGTTAATGTATTTCAGTACTTTGTTTGCTCTTGTCATGCAGAAATGTTGTAGAGGGAATTTACTAATCCTCCAAGTGTTGAAGGCATTCATAAATCTGTGAAATCTTTTCGAAATAGAATCTGTACAATTCTATTATATTGTTGTAAGTTCCCCAGATTTCAGCACAATACAAGAAATAGTATGATCATACTGTCAAATATTTTAAAGTTATTTTCCTGTAAAAATATCCAAATTTCTTTTATAATTATTGAGATGTAATCGGTGATGTCAAAGAGACAGTTTAATGTTCATTATCTTTAACATAAATTAAGGCTCTGGAGTAAAATATGCTATATTAAAAAAAGAGTATGAATGATTTTAAGAACAAAACATAAATTGTCAATAATAACATCTCTTATTCTTTCTTAAATCCTGCATGAAATACACTTATCAGTTGAAAAATAAGTGAACATGTTAAAATCCTGAAAATGGCATTTAACTTTTAAATCATTCAACAAATGAAGTGTTCTAAGATAGAAGCAATGAATGATCACTGACATGGTGACAAAGCGACTTTCATAGGCTAACATAACCTTGCACCACATGTTTTTAAGTTCAATAAAAATTCAAATGAAAGAATAGGAAACATAATATCACCGCTGTCCACACATTTTATTAACCAGAGGATTTTGTTGTCAAACACATGCACAAAGAAATTGATTATTATAATGTTAGATCAATTTGTATCAAGTATCATGTAGCTTGGAGAATCAAGCATGGTGTTATTAACTTCCAGTGGAGCGTTGTATGTGTCTCCCACTGAGAATGACATGCTATTCATAGGGGCATGTATTGCTATGTTAGGGTCTGTATGCTATTGTTACTGTTAGATATTATCTTTCTTACAGGCTGAGACAATATGACAGGAAATATTGACAAATTATGTTGTTGAAGTTAATAGGCTATTAATGTAGTTGATGCTTCTTTAAAGTTCCCCTCATGTGTACAGTGTGTGGAGCCCGTTTCTGGCATTCCCATTGTGACGTTACTGAAATATTGCTGAAGCAGTGTAAAACTATACTCACTCACTTTTTAAAGTCATCATATATAATAATATTTAAGTATTTATGTTAACACTGCAAAGGATAGAAGTAGTATATATTACAAGAACATTACTTTGAAACAATGTCATCCCATAAAGTAATCAGCAAGTCAGCAACTGTTACACATTTCTGTTAAATATTACAGATTATCATCTTTATGATCGTTACCTTAACATCATGATAAAATGAACAAGATTAGAAGATGAGTAAATCTTTTCTATATAACTTTTTATAACTAGAGAATTTGCACCAATAAAAATCACAAAATGGCACACAAATAGTCAAATGAACTTTGTTTCAATAGCATACAGCATATATTTGGAAGAATATAGTGAATGGATTAGGACACAACATTGGCACAAGGTGTAGAAGCTGACCTCACACTTTACCAACTAAATGTAATTATGAAATGAATAGTTATGCTTTACTTTTGTAGTGTTTGATTAGGGTCAGGAATATGGTTAGGTAAGGTTGGGCTAGGTTAGGTTAGGGAAAAGTTCTATAGTTGCTATTATTTCTATCTTATTCATTGAATAGATTGACTCATTCATCACTTTCAACTTCAGCATCATTCATGACTCTCACCTGGAGTGTTGTCCGTTCTCCTGTGTCTCTGTCTCATACCAAAACTGTAGGCTGGGTGGCGGAACTTGGCAGTGGGGCCAGTGTGCTGAGGACTGTAAGCACCTGGCCCTGGGGTCATAAAAGATGTGCTGTCCTTCTGGCGACTGTATAAGGAGTAATGGGGGGTACCATCCTGTCCATCTCGATATACCTGCAGGGGAGATGTCTCATGCTATAGCCTATTACATATGTTGTTCAAAACATCCTTCGGGTGACCTATAAATCTGCTTTTTAAGATGCCATAATGTATAAACTATATAATTAACAACTTCATGAATAGTTATTCATGGTTTGGTTGATTACAAATCAGTTTTATTATTAACAATTGTTGTTAGTGATAACCAAGTAATGGTACTAGGACATATATATGCATTCTATCTGTGGAGACTTCAGAGAAGGGTATGATAGTGGGGTTGAGTGACGAGATGCATACCTTGGTGTCAGGATAGTAGCATGGGCCAGGGCTGCAGTCATCCCTGAATTTTCCATGACGGATGCCAAAAGAATATGCTGGGTATTTGGAATGGGAACTGCGAGGATCATGGGTTGACTGGCCAATCAGATTTGGTAGACCATAGCATGGGCCAGGGCTGCTGTACATGGCAGCAATCGGTCCACGTGGTTTTGTGTAGTTGTACACCATTGTGACTACCTAAGTAGGAACCTGATAAATTCAACAGATAATTAGATTTCATAGAAAAGGGAAAGAAAGCCTATAACAAACCTCAAACCTTAATTTGGTAATGTCTTTTTCAAAGTCATTTTTTAAACAAAAATTCTCATTTCATCAAACATCTTTAGTCAAAATGATGATATTGCAACGTGATCTTGGTCTACCATGAATCTTTAAAACAAAAACTATTTTTGAGAACGAAATCAAATCAACAAATCAAACAAAATATAGGTCTAAGTATGGATTTTTTGGGAAGTGGTTTTAAAAGTTATTACACAGTATGTATTTTATGTCATTTTTTTATAATATACGGGCAGCTAACAGTAAAAGCAATAAAACATTCACAATGAAAATGATGACTGGCAAGCCAGTAAACTGTCTGAGGACTACAAGTAGATTTATACAATGCACTCAAGACCTTATGATAAAAAAAACACTTTAAAAAAAACCCAAAATACTATTTAAATTATATATCCTAGCAAAACCATGTGACAGTTTTCTCAGTACATATAAACTTATTCATTTAACAAGAGTGGTATGTCTTTTTGAAGTCTGATTCTTGATACAAGGCTAGTCACCAATTCTTGGTCTAGATATCTTCAGTATGTAAAAAACTGGATAACCTGCCTCACACATTAACAAGTATACACTTCTTAATACTAGTTATACCACCACCAGTACAATGATAAACGGTGGACGGTCTATTACAAGAGTCAACGAACCCTGGTTTGATCAGTTCAAACGTTTACACCGTTTATACTGTTACAAAATGGAGAACTTACCAAATTTTGTGTATTCCAAAGTTACTCAGGTTGTTTGACTGATGGTCTTCGCAATACTTGTTAATTAAGTGAGAACTTTCCTTGTTCTGAGGAACCTACGACGCCCTGGCATATAAAGGCACCCCCAATTCTCTAATCGCCTTCAAAACTACCGGTCCGCAGACAGAAGCTTACACCGCCGTCCCTAGCAACGTAATGCCGTGTCCTTATCAACGCATCGATAAGCCGAAACGAGGCACACGTCGAAACGAATAATTAAACCCATCTATGGGGTCATTACTTAGCCGTTTACATCACGTAAACTGTAACAAAGCTTATTAGATTGTTATTAAACAGAAAGCGCGAGATTCAGATACTTCTGAAATATTGGCGATGTTGAAATAGAATAATATAATATTATACAGTAGTTTCTGGAAACATATTTTGAGGATAAGTACTAATTTGTGAAATGTTAATTATGATGAAATCGGCTTAACGATAATTATTCGTAAGTTATTCTAAATTTGTCTATTTTAGAATACAAGTATATTCCTTAACTTTTGGCTTTGCTTGTTTCTTGTTTTAAGATCCATTTAAAGTGCATAGACTAAGAAAGTGTGTTATTCTTTATATCTTTTATCAAGTAGGAAATAGTCAACAATCAAGAAAATTACGAATTAATTAACCCTATCGGGTTCAATGACACATTAATAAGTATACGTTTTATCTTTCATTTAATCAAATCCAGACAACGATGTACTTGTTACATTTATGAATAATTTAAAGCCGTTTATTTTACTATCGGAGGTCATTACGGGAAGTTTTCCTATAGGCTATACACATGCCCGTCCATGTATAGATGTTGGCACCCCAACCTGGGCAAAGGGTACGTTCGAAACCCTAGTGACAAGTCTATCCACAACATAAAGACACGAAAAGGTTAAAGACGTCTAACGTTATCAAATTACAACATTTATCCACGTGTTTCTTTTGTAACGGGCAATCAGATAGAAGCAGGGCCTGCAGAGCAACAAAGCACATGTCCTGCCATTGGCAACTGTAGCGAATCACGGCCATTATGTTTAAAAATATGAAGTAACGCTGGGAACAATTGAAACAAATGGTGGGTTGGGTTTTGAATACAACAGGTGTGTAATTAATATATACCTAGATATTGATCTACGCTGATATTTCTATAGCTGATTGACTTCGCCACAGACCCCAGCCGACTCTACTTCAAACTCTATTTAGGCTTCCAGATAACGTGTCAAGTATAGCGTTTAATCACCGACCTGTACCATTGCGTTTTTTAACGACATTGTTCGTTTGTTATTTTTTATATTAGCTTATAGCTTATTCTGATTTTAAAATCGATATAGCTATGTATGTATTGAATAGGCATGTATGTATTCAAAACAGAAGATTTTTCGCAATTCATCACGTGCAGTGCTAAAATAAATAAATAAATAAATAAATAAATAAATAAATAAATAAATAAATAAATAAATAAATAAATAAATAAATAAATAAATAAATAAATGATGTGGGTTGGTTGCTGACATTTCTGTTCAATAGCTCACATCGTAGCATGTGCCCACGGCAGTAATAGAGTTGCGCCCATGGGCATACTGACTTAAAGAAACCCATGTATTATCCGTTATATACCACGAATAGCACATACAGTGGAATCAAACTATCACAATAAAATAATCAAATTCTTACTTCAACAATTCCCAGTAACCCGTGTTGTTCACACAAATCATTTATCACTTCGACTTCAGTTAACATTAAATTTCTTCGGAAGATCATTCGACAAATAGATATATATATATAAGTGGTAAAGTTGATCATCATGGAAGTCAATTGTCAATACATGTATTTATTTAAAGTGTCCATTATTAACGTCGCAGATGTCCACAACTGTCTATCGCCGTATTACTATCAGACAGTGGCGATATAACAATAGAGTCCTAAAGCTTTTACGCTGAGTACAGTCTATACATACCCCAGGGAGGGATTATCCCCCGGTTTGACACGGGTAGTTGGCTGTACATATGAGAAAAGGGATTTACAATGATATGAATCGATATTCTTGTTACTATGGACGCGACAGAAGTGTGCGATCATTTCATGTACATGAAACAAAACATATTTTTACCACAATTTATCATCAGATATATAGGCTTTTCGTGTCCAAACGCGAACATTGCAGTCAGACTTTTGTAATTAATCTCAACTTGTATCAAAGCCACAGGTCGTCCTTTGCCCCCGTAAGAAAGATTCGTGAGATTGGGCGATTAGAAGACGGGATTTTTGTAACGTAAGCGGCAGTGGTTTGAGCGGGTATAATCTACAAGCAATGCGATTATTTGTCAGTCTATTGCACCGAGTCGGCTGACGAACAAATATTGGATTAAAACATCGACCAAGGAGCCTAATCGATATAGCTTGTAGACAACGGGAAGACAACTTGCAGAGCACGCTTGTGATGGGACGCGAGAACACTGCAGGAACTGGACGGGATTGATACTTGTGAGAAATCGAACATACATTTAGATGTTTCACAATGGAGTTTTCAGGTAAGACAACATGTGAATGCATACAAATTAACCGTGCATTTAATATTAAATTTATTTTGATGAGAGTGTTCATGCTCAAACTCATTATTAGCGCGACAGCATACAACCTGCATGGGATTACTTTTGTGTGATAGTTTTGGGACCACACATACACAGACATTCTGAGAGGGGCAATTTTAAACTGCTACATGGTCTAATGTGTACGAATGTTATCTACACGGTTTTACCTCATTCTGATGCCTGTCTAGTTTTTGCAAAACGTTATATAACAACGCAAGTAAAGTTACAAGAACAGATGTCAGTCCCTTTCCCTCGGTTCCATGGCGAATGAAATAGAGTCACAATTAACACAACAATAAAACAAAACAAAACAACAAGAAGATTGTTTAAGAAAGTGACAATATTAAATGTATGACACATTTCTAATTGTAGGAAAAGCAAGATTTTATGGATGTCAACTTCTTTATTGTGAATAACACGACGTTTCGGAGTGTGTGCTTGCTCCTTCATCAGGTAAAGCAGGAGCAAGCATACACTATTCACAATAAAGAAGTTGACATCCATAAAATCTTGCTTTTCCTATGTATTCCACTTCTAAGTGCCCTTCAAAGATTTCTAATTGTACTTAATATCCCGCTAGCTATTCAGAACAAATCTTTGCAGATGACGCGCTGTTATAAACGTTTGTCACACTAACGCAGTACGTTCTTGAAAGCGGCATGTAGTGAAAACTCAATCATTAAACCCCTTTCCTGAAAACAGCGTAATATTTAGAAAAGTGTTTTGATTGCGACTCACAAGTCACAAACATTGTGTACGTGTTGCAATAACACCATAGATATCGTACCCAATTGGAACATTGCAAGCAAAATATTTACGTTGTTTTGATAGACTCAGAGCACCATATGTGTACTTTCTTTTGCACATCAGTATAGTTATCCAGGGTCAGATAGCAACTATTTGTGTTCTTGTTTCATACCTAATTCGGAATAGTGCAAGCGCATATTATGTAAGGCGTGGTGGGGTAGCCTAGTGGTTAAAGCGTTCTCTCATCACGCCGAAAACCCTGGTTCGATTCCCCACATGGGTACATTGTATGAAGCCCATTCTGCATGGTGTCCCGTGACGTTGCTGGGATATTGCTAAAAGCGGCGAAAAAACTCACTCACTCACATGTATGTCAAATGTAAGAGAGTCTGAAATCCTTGGTACTTCCTGAAATTCCATACCATTTCATTAGTTTCTGAATATTATATGAAATAAAACAGGTCACCCGTCATGGTAAATGCTTACTAATGTACAAAGTAATTAAGCTTTTCGTAAGTTAAAATAACAGACAATACATCACTACCTCTTCTTAGATTATGTCTTGGTCATTTTGAATTTGAATGAAGTCCCCCTGAGAAGGAGTAAGAATATATACTCCGAAACGTTGTGTCCATTAAAATAAAGAAGTTGACATCCATAAATTCTTGCCTTTATGTGTAAAACTTCCAAATGCCGCTCTCAGACTCAACAAGTTACCTGTACATACATCAAGCGGAATGTTATCTGTATTAGTAGTAGTGGAAATAAACTGACTCACAAGACAACCTTAAGCGTGTGATACCGGATTACCTACACCTTAGGCTATACTATGATTATAACTATAAGCGCCTTTAAATATAAGCGGTAATGGAACTTGGGTGTTTCCAATTCCAAACAGCTCCATATACCAACTATGCTAACAGACCGCCACCAATTTAGGTGAAATATTCTATTTTCAAAGTCTATTTTCAATACTATTAGGTTTTTATAAATGTGGTTTTAGAGAAAGAAGTGTTTTCTGTATTGCTTTAATAATGTTTTTAATAAAATACAATACCCACAAAAATCTTGCAGTTTCGATCCTTGTCCGACATAGTTACTTAAACAGTGTGATGGTGCCCTTGTGCCAACCTCCAATTGTAGTAAATTAGTGGCTGGCTCAAACCGAGGCTCCTACAGCACTGACAAAAAGAAATAATAATTCCTCTGCCGGAAAGTGTTCAAGTTCTATCGTCCAGTCACAATTCTACCTCACAGGTAGTGACGAATAGATTTGCAAAACACATTCCTGACAGCAGTCCTGGAGATGTTCTGGCTTACTGGATTGGCTTACTAGACAAACCTCATCAAACTGAGTGATTACACAGCTAAAACATTATCAGCTCAATGGTAGAGCAGCCCAAGATTCAAGTTCCCAACACATGGATCGGGATACAAACAGTCACGCAAGAAATCTGGGCGTCATGCATGTGATTAACACCGGCGAAAATGCACACCATCGAATAAGGCATATCAGACAAATAAGTACATGGTTATAGATTTTGAGCCTCAAAATTCAGGTCGGTATAGGTCCAATTATTTCTGATTAAACCAGTTTTAAATACTTTTCTTGATTTTCTCTAAGTATCTCACAGTGTGTGGTCAATCTACGTCTTTGATAAGAATAAAATGTAAAACACACACCACTGATTATATTGACTCTTGGGGCGAAGTTGGTGGGCGGCTAGTTTATATAAGATACGGTTAGCTTCGTTCCGAGGTCATAATGCAATGCGGGTACTAGACTAACAACTAGTCTCTGAAATGAACATATTTTACTGAAAAAAGAGTTCATAGTAAAAAAATATATAATAAAATATATAATGAAAAGGAGCCCTGAGACTTTCTTCATTTTCAGCCTGAAGCAGTGGAAATCTAGACTTGCCACATTTTCTAGACTTGCGTGGGCTTTCTTGGATATATTTGCTTCAGGGTCTGTACGAGAGACTATGGGGGTACCACTTTACTTTGATAATGTTACAGTTTCCCCGTCTTGTATTTCCACATAAATCCACGACTGTAGTAGATAAACAAGGGCACTGTTATGATATGTAATATGCGAAAGCTGCAAATATCACATGGTGACTGTCAATCGAGGTGAAATATTCAGTAAATACCTAGATGAGCTTGTATAACTATAAATGTACTTATGAAATGGACCCGTGAAGGTCCGGGTTAGAATTGATCTTCAGTAACCCATGCTTGTCGAAAGAGGCGACTAACGGGATCGGGTGCACAGATCGATGCTCATGCTGTTGATCACTGAATTGTCCGCTCTAGACTCGATTATTTACAGACCGCCACCATATAGCTGGAATATTGCTGAGTGCGGCGTATAAGTAAACTCCCTCACTCTCACATGATATGCTTTCTTTTATTCCTCGGTCCGACACAAGTAAACTATCTCGGCAAACTTGTGCAGGTTTGTTTTTGGTATCTTACCTCGTGGTGAACCATTCGCTTTTTTGTATTCTATAGTTTTTAGTATGTTATTAATAATATGTTATCCTACAAACAGATGTAATAATAATAAGTCGACATATCCTACAAACAGATGTATATGAATTGACGTCAGTGTCACAGCAAATATAGACCTGACCTTACTTTTACACTTGTAGGTTGTAACAGCTACAGCGTCTCTGAATTATTTATTTCAAAATAAGCCTTGAGTGAACCAGCAGAAAGTTTGCTACCTTAAGCCGTACTGACAATTTTTATTATTTATTTTTATCGCCTTTTAGCAAATCATCTTAAAGTGAATGTTAACTTTACAAGACCGTATCTCGCGAGCAAATCTTCTTGTAAATGCGTGGAAACAACCCGCTGTATCAGTTTTATTCACTGGCTTAGACTGAATATTCATCTTGCATCTAAATATATATATTATTACTATGTAATTTGGAAGTCAGAGCATATTCATTGTGACGCGTATAGTCGAACCCCATTGTCTACAACATGGATGTTCCCAAACCCAGGTTGAACACAGTCTGGTCCTGGAAAGACCTCTCCCGATATTTACCACCAGTTCAATGTGTCGAACTTGCTTCGAAATCATTTTGTAGTTCCAAGAATTATACATAAAACGCTTACCCTGGTAAGTCAAGCTGATAATAAACTAAAACCACAACATAGTACATTTGAATGTGGAAAGATAGACGTAGATTTCACAAATGGTTCTGTTTATATTTCACAGCATATTCTTTCTGTTGTCTCCTAGTAATAATTTCCTGGATACGTCGTACTAAATATATGACCCCTTGGATAAGGAGACAACGGTGTTTGAGGGTACAGTAGAGATGAAGCGATCGATCCATTTACAGTTAAAATATTCATAGGGCTAATTGCCCTGAATAAAGGAAAGCGAAAATGTGATGATAACCCCGTCCGGTTATTTTTCCTTAGATAATGAATGAGTAAGAGAGTTTTATAAACGAGTTTATAAAAACAAACATACACTATTTAGGTTTCACTTTGCTGAAACAGTCTTAATCAGTATGGAGTGGACGTCTGTGTAACTCTATAATAACTAAGCACATATGCAATTTACAAAATTTGGATTTTCGGCGGTAAGATGTTATCGGTTAAGTGAACACGAACATCTTGACACGACGGTAATCTACACAGTGAAGCGCCCATACAATCACCATCAGAACATGCCCGTCCTTCATTTAAACTCCATTATCACATCTGATGCAGGTGTGATCCGACATAGTCTATCTATACATTATGAATTGTATGGTATAACTGTTTATGTTTTGAAAACAAAACAGTTGTTTCTTAGATAGGTAATTATTTCAAAAAGTCATTTGGACCTCCCCTTGGTAACTTGTCATGACAGGTTGACACCCAGGCTTGTGTACTTTGTCAAAAGGAGAGGCTTTAATTATTTGTTATTGCTCACAGATACAGATAAACAATGTTACACTTCCTTCTGGAGGTAATTTACTTATACCTACTCTGTACAGTACAAACTTGACAAAAAAAAGAACATGTATGTTAAGCTTTATTCAATCCTACACCTAACCTGCATTTGTTATCTAATTGATATGCTGCAAATCAGCAGTTACCAGCATCATTATTAACAATTATGACTGTTAACTGTTAATTCTGTTCATCAGGATATTTAAGACCACACACGTTTTCTATTTCATATTTTTCAAATAAGCCTGTCCGAAACTTATCATAAGTTCTTAAATGAGGAAATATTATGTTCCTGATTGAAATTATACTCATTAAATTATGGATTTAAATTTTTGTTTTACTTTTAAATAAATGAAAAGAAAATGCACAAAAGAAAAATAGGAAGTATACAGGTATTGTCCTTATACATGTATTTCAGAATCTTAAATACAAAGAAACAAGTAGGTGTGGCCAGGATTTTGGAATTGTCAATATAACCATACACTATTGGATAAGTTGATGTTAAGGATAAAGGTGACAATGTTCTGAACACACTTTGTCTCTATGAAATGTAATATATATGTATGTTATATTTAGATTTACACCTCCACTGATAATATTCAAGAAACATCACAGTGAGAACCACCATTACGGTTTTAAGTAAGGACTAGAGTAGACTAGCAGTTGTTGGACTTTTATATTTGTGTAAGCCTTGTGTAAATGTAATCATAAACAGAAACAGATTTTTTTATGTTGATTCTTGAATGAAACAGATGATGTTGATGTATGATGAAACTGAAGATATTAGCTCTGAGATGACCTTCACTGGTATAATATTCTATTCACACTTTGCTAAGGATCAAATCATTGATTCAACAGAAAACTATGACGTGGGGTCAAATTTGGTTTAAATATTTAAGCCTATTGTAAGCATGGATCCAAGGTTTCAGTATGTCATTTCATCTTGTGGATCCCATACCTGCTATTGACAGGTGTTGTGTAGTTATCAATGACCTGTGCCATGATTTGCAAAATGGTTGATTGGTGCCATGAAAACCATTCTGATGGTTACTCATGTATCAAGTGCATACGGTTAGAATAAAGTGGCTGTTTTAGTAATGATGTGTTACCATTTCATTATTTATCGAGTTTTAAATTGATACAATTTCTAATTATAAATCTACGTTTAAGTAAAGTTGCAAATTTTGGTGATCCTTAGCAAAGTGTGAATAGTGTACAAACACAAAACAACTTCATAAGACAGAAAAACCCATGAAGATCCGGGTTAGAATTGATCTTCAGTAACCCATGCTTGTCATAAGAGGCGACTAATGGGATCGGGTGGTCAGGCTCGCTGACTTGGTTGACACATGTCATTGTATCCCAATTGCGTAGATTGATGCTCATGCTGTTGATCAGTGGATTGTCTGGTCCAGACTCGATTATTTACAGACTGCCGCCATATAGCTGGAATCTTGTGGCGTTAAACAACAAACCAACCAACCATAAGACAGAAAACTTTATTTGTTAGTTAAAGACTTGAGCATGATTGTAATTACTTTTATGTATAAGTAAAATTTGTACAAAAACTGAGCAAACATTTACAGCAACAATATGACGAAGCTACGAAAACCATCTATAGAGCAATGTGGTTAAATTGTGCACACGGGTTATCACAGATTTAGCTAACATGCAAAAATTTGCTAACAGATATTTCAAACACCACAAATGAAAAAACAACAACACAAACAGTCAATACAGGCACTGTATAAACCTATCTGGATATGGACATATAAGCATATAATCACATACTTTCAACATCCATTTCCAAAATACACCTGTTTTCAGATTTATATGTTCATATTAAATCCCTTTCATCTTTAAGTGAATGTTATTTCTATTTCTTTTCAGTGTAACAACTTCCTCATATTGTGATAAAAGGATGTACATGATTTCAATGTAACCAGTTTCATAAACATATCATGTGTGAATGCCAAATCAATAAAGGCCAGATCAATCTTATTTCTTGTTTTACGGATCCGCCAGACATAGGGTTTCAAGAATGGGACAAAAAAAAATTAATAATAATGAATTTCCCTGCTCAAAAAATATAATCCTAATGTTAATGTGGTATAAGTGAAATACTGTTGAAATCAGTGTGAAGCCTAAACTCACTCAACTTATTTTTAGTTGATATAAATGAAGCAAAAGAGACAATATGGAAACTCATATGAGTTTTTGCTTTGACTGGTGATTTTGTTAAAAAAAAGTCCCTCCTGCCTTCTGAGGTAAAAATCTGTAAAACAAGAAATAAAATTTGTCTGGCCTAAAACAAAAAGATATACAGTAACATCCCATTATTCATATATATGTTCACAGGGACACTTCCTCAAAGGAAATCTGACTTACAAAGTACAAAGGACCAATAAGAAATTCCTATATATCAGTAGCATATTTGGTTATAGATGATATTAGGGTGTATAATTACATACATAGTTTCTCCATGAAGATTTCCATATTGTGCAAAACATTGAATGTAATTCACCATAAATATTCAAAGTTGAATACTGACGTGAAAGTGAATACTGCTTGTGTTAGGTAAAATGCTGGTGTGGTAAACCGATAAATATACACCACATCTGATAAATAGTTTATATTTGGTTGTAGAAATCAGAGCTCACAACATACATGACAACACTGCTCCTTCCCTACCTACATGTCCTGCTATGCTAGTTTCTTATCAATAATCAAGGCACGATCACTTAGGGACAGTTAGAGAGAACACCTTCCTCTACTTTATACATGAGGTAATATTTTACAAATCCATTCAAATTTGTGGAACAGTTTTTGATTCTTGGTACGTTTGTGAATAAATTAACTGGCTGATTGTTTTTTTATCAATCCATACAAGGAATTAGAAATACCTTGCTAAAAAACTTTTTTTAAATTTGTACAAATGATATCTGAAATAAAGCAACCAATACCTAGTTATGGGCCACTTTCTCCTTTGCAACAAGATAGCTATGCTGCAGTCATCGAAAACAGAAAATCATTCAAGACGAAATGATGCGAAAACAGAATGAATATGTATCCTTATGTTAACCTTATGTTAACCTTATGTATGTATATATTCATTTCAAAATTATGAAAACTTGCGTATAATTGTTTTATACCAAAATCTGAAAAATGGCTTACACAGGTTCCGGAAAGTACTTTGACAAATGATAAACATAGAATTTGCGTAGAAATTATGTTTCGACAAGATATGAATGTGAAAACATTCACAAAAGAATGTCATTCACTAAACAAAATGAAGTTTTCATGATTCATATTTTTCACTTAGCTGGTTAATTTTGATCTCTTAATTTTTTAAATGTGTTTAGCTTTCAGCTTCATCCTAAGCTATATTGCAAGGTTGGGTTGAAAGATTTTACAGCTTTTGTTTTTCAAGAAAAATATGCTTACTGATATATTCACAATAATTATGAATATCATCAATATGTCTGTTAATACGCAGGAATGCATCTCATTCTTAAAGCTTAGTCAAATGAATGATAATGTTTTTATAATGACAGTCAAAGAACTTCAGCAAAATGCATCACACTGTATCTCGTATTGCCTGACAGACAAATATATTCAGCAGTTGTTGTGAAATAATACTATTGGTTAATATCTGACTCTTCTGGCATTCAGGCTGGCCGACATAGCTGGGTGTCGGGGGCAGCACTAGTCCTGGACCTCAACAATCAAGGGCGCTGTGTACTGGCTGTGACGGATTCCAAATGAGTAGCATGGAGCTTCTTTCTTGTTTGAATAAACCTGAGAAATGAAAGCAATAATATTTGAAAGATGTGAGATAGTAAACATTCACTGACTAAAGAAGAAATCAGTAGGGGTGAAATGGTATGCTCTTACCACGGTACGGTATGTATTGCGGTGCAAAGCCTTCGGTTCGGTCCGTTTCAGTTTCGGTTCGGTATATGAGATATGATCATAATGCAGAAAATTGACAAGAGCCAAACCTTACATTGTTTAATAACATGACAAACAAGTGTTTGCCACTAATATGGCAATGTCCCCCCGCCGCTAAAGAATGGAATATTCATAACATATTTACTACTTTTTAATTTTTTGCTCACATACAAGATGCCTGAAATCACTGGTGTCTGCATAATCACCCAATGTAGGCTGTCGACATAATTGAAGACATTCGATGCAATGTTTTATGAGATATCGCATTTACATAAGTTTGAAAAGTGGTCAAAGTGTCATGGTGACCTTGAAAATAAGATCAAGGTCACCCAAGTCGACTGGTGTCTGCATAATCCCCCAATGTAGGCTGTCACCAAATTTGAAGACATTGGGTACAACAGTTCATGAAATATCACGTTAACAAGAGTTTGAAAAGTGATCAAAGTGTCGTGGTGACCTTGAACATAAGGTTAAGGTCACCCAAATATACTGGTGTCTGCGTAATCTCTCAATGTAAGCTGTCACTAAATTTGAAGATATTGGGTATGACAGTTCACAAGATATCGCGTTAACAAGAGTTTGAAAAGTGGTCAAACTGTCATGGTGACCTTGAAAATGAGGTCAAGGTCACCCAAGTTGACTGGTGTCTGGGTAATCCCCCCAATGTAGGCTGTCACCAAATTTGAAGACACTGGGTACAACAGTTCATGAGATATCGCGTTAACAAGAATCAGGACGTACGGACAGACACTGCTGAATACATAGTCCCACGTTCCACGTTGCGACGGGGGACAAAAAATGACCATAATCTCTATTATTTTGAATGAACACAACTGTCATTTAAAAGGTTGATAAAATTACCGTATGAAAACAAAAAATACCGAATTTTTGTATTGCATTACGTATTTGGAACTGAAGGCAAAATACCGCGGTTCTACTAATACTGCGGTGTACCATTTCACCCCTTGAAATCAAGTATGCTATAAAAGTCTTTAACATCATTTAGAAGGTATACACATAAAGGCAATAATTTATGGATATCAGCTTCTTTAACATATGTTATATTTGGGATTATACTTTCTTAGTAACACAAAGTCAGCTGCTTAACCCACTCAGCCACCACCACTTACATTGTTAAATAACATGGAAACACAATGACCATAATCTTTGTTATTTGAATGGACAAAACTGTCATTTAAAAAGGTGGAAGTCACGGTGGCTTAGCGGGTTAGACGGCTGACTTTGTGTGCTGGCAATTAGGTGCCTGACTCTGAGGGTGTGGGTTTAAATCCTGGATGGGACTCAACCCCAAAAAGTACTAGAATCTGTACTTTACTATGAAAGTGTAATCCCAAGTATAACATGTTACATTTAACTGCTTTTTTAATGGCATTGTGTAATCATCAACTTCTTTATTTCGACATTTTGGAGTATACTCTTAATCGTTCATCAGGTTAATGAGGCATGCTATGATTCATATGTCATGGCTTGTGGACATATACAGTCAAATCCCGATGAGTCGAATGCCGGTGTCTTGAACATTATGCATAACTCGAAGTACCTGTCAGTCCCGACCATTCCCTGTTATAGTTGTCATCATTTGAATACCGGTTACACGAATTCGTCTCTTAAATACACACGATGACTCGAGAAGAAAATTTGGTCCCATGAGATTCAAACAACAGCAATCTTGTATACATAAGCCAAAGTCAGTCAATGAGAAGTTGATTGGTGTAGCAAACTGATCCAATTAACAAACCAGCGCGGCTCACACCTTTCCGCCTTTGACGGGTGAGTTCAAAAGGCAGATTGGTGATTTTACGGAAATCACTGTCTGTGCTAATCAGACTGGAACTGATAAGGTGCCCCTATTAGTGATAGGGAAATCATTAGATAAACAAATGCTTAGGCGGAGGAATTAGGACTGGATCATCTTTTTTTCTACCCTCATAGATATACCTATGTCTCGAATAGATCGATAAGTCGGATTTATTACTTGGTACCCAGAGATTCGACTCATCGGGATTTGACTGTATGTGAGTCAGACTAGAGTAGTCTTGAGACAAAGTTCCTCAGCGTTTGTATCTTCCCATTTTGAATGGTTTGTAGTAACACTATCATTGCTGAAATCACATTGATAAAACACTTTTATCATTAAAAACATTTTTCACAAATGATACGAAGAGATATACATCTATCCAAAGTCCTGATTATCCTTTAATGTGTGCTTGAATACTGTCCATGTGCGGTCTAGAGTTCATGTGCTTGACTATTATTCACGTGCTTGACTAGTGTACACGTGCTGGAATAGAGTTCATTTGCTTTCACTCGTGTTCATGTACTTCAATATCCTGTGTGTTTTGAACATACAGGGTGCAGAGTGTACGCTCCAATCAGGTGCAAGTGTGGTCACAGCAATTACCAGTTGAAGTAACAACTATGCTCAGGTCTCACAAGGTGAGTGCAATATTACAATATGTTAAAATCGTGAGTGAGTATGATTTTACACTGCTTTTAAAAATATTCAAGCAATGTTTGGGGGACACCAGAAATGGGCTTAACACATTGTACCCATGTGGGGATTTGAACTCAGGTCTTCATCGGGACAAGCAACCAGCATGCAACTATGGAGCTGGAGCTGGTCTCCTTGTGAATTTTATGTTCTGGGTTCTGAGGTTCTGGGTGGCGGTGTGGTAGCCTAGTGGTTAAGGCGTTCGATTGTTCGATTGGTACAATGTGTGAAGTCCATTTCTGTGTCCCTAACCGTGACATTTCTGGAATATTGCTTAAAGCGGTGTAAAACTAAACTCCCTCACCCACTCACGTTCTGATGCTGACTGTCCTCAAATAAGTTGTGTCAGGTAGGCATCATTATAAATTTATGGGACAATGTTAACCAGTCTTAAAAGACAGGGGAGACAGATATGTTTCAGTTCTGTCATGTTACCCAGAACATTAAGTGATTACATGCAGGCAGCCATGCTGATTTAGATATATACGTAACAAAAATAGATAAAACATGTTCACTACATCAGCAGTCAGAGTTCTGTTTCAGTTTATGTATTGATCTCCTGGTATATGTAAAACAAACATTCTCGCTTGTCTTAGTAGAATGAAAACTATTTGGCATTGACTGTAACAAACCATTAAAAGAGAAGCACAAAATTGAATACATTCAAAACTTGAGTGGCAGAGGGGACGCAAAGAATAGTGACTGTGTTGTGTGGGTGTAAGTGGGGATACCAAGAATAGTGAGTATGGACATAGGGACGCTTGATCCCTGGGCCTGATTCCACAAAACAATTGTAGCACTAAGATGAACTTAACGCTCATACTTCAGCTCAGACAGTCATAGCACTTCGATCATTATGTGGAACAGGGCCCTGGTCAACAACGTAAAGAATGAAGAAAGAAAAAAATGTGTGTGACCTCGTGAGATTATCACGTGTACACATTACGTGTCGAAACAGAAGACCTACACCCAGAGTGGTTTAGTCTCGGACATCCACTATCAGTGGCGCAGTGTATTGGGAATGACGTATTCCGAAACTAACACATGGTGCTGAGCGTTTGTTTATGTAAACCTGCAAGAAAGAAGGCCAGTCTTGCATGAGATATGGAACGAAATTATCCATTCTTACCATCATTAATTTCTTCTTGTCCTTCAGATTTGTTTGTTATTTTTAGATATTTTGTAAAATCCAAAATATTAAAGAAAAAACATCCATACCTAATTATCAATGTTATAAGACTAGGTCTCGGTCAAATACGACTGTGAATTTAATATTCATTATGGTATGTCAATGCATAACACAACATAATACTCTGTTACTCAACTGACTGTTTGCCATTGATTAAGGACTCAAATCTGGTGAAATTTATCAAATTCAAATATCTGTAATATGGATAAGCTGTTAAAGGAAGTCAAATTTATTTTATTTCAATATTTTTACATCAGTTGCACTTGAATTCCATTTTGAAACCTGTATTGTTTCAAACTTTTGAGAAAATCAGAAATGGGACTTAGTGGATTCCTATCAGAGAACAACACTTACAAGTTCAGGGTGGTGGGTGCCAGGTCCGGGTTTCGTGGTGGTGTCTCCTGGCAACTGAGACCGAGATGTCATACTGTATCCTGGCGCTGCTCTCTTGTACCTGTTGGGGTCGGTCACCTTGTAATTACCGGGGCCAGGAGTCTTAAAAAAGCAGACAAAGTGTCATCACAGATTTCAACAGCTTTCGGTTCCAATGAAAGAACCTCAAAGTGATCGTAGCGCTATGATGATCATAACTCCCATCCTTTAACATAGGCTTACAACTGTTGTAGCGCTACAATTGCTTTGAGGAACTGAGCCCTACTCTGTAAAGTGACTTAGATTGCTATTGTGACTAATATTACTGTCTTCTAAGTTCAGATAATCCGAACTGACTGACTGAGTTTAGTTTTCGCCGCTTTTAGCAATATTCCAGCAATATCACGGCGGGGGACACCAGAAATGGGCTTAACACATTGTGCCCATGTGGGGAATCGAACCCGGGTCTTTGTCGTGACGAGCCAACGATTTAACCACTAGGCTATCCCACCGCCCCAGATAATCTGAAACCAATCATGCAAGCTAACATTGTATGAAAGCAATACGAATTGATTGATTTGATTTGATTTGATTTGATTTGATTTGATTTGATTGATTGATTGATTGATTGATTGATTGATTGATTGATTGATTGATTGATTGATTGATTGATTGATTGATTGATTGATTGATTGATTGATTGATTGATTGATTGATTGATTGATTGATTGATTGATTGACATCACACTCAGCAATATTTCAGCTATATGGCGGTAGAATGTAAATAATCGAATCTGGATGAACAGTGATGAACAGCACGAGCATTGCTCTATGCAATTGGGATACGATGACATGTATCAACCAAGTCAGCAAGCCTGATCCATTGTAATCAAACCCAGGTGAATGGTGAGACAGGTAAGTGATTTTAACCACCAAGCTATCCAATATATGTTGAAGTGGAGAAACGATACAAGTCATGATAGTGCTGTACATAATTCAAGATACGATAAGTATTGGGATACACATATTGGCGACAAATTGTGTGTTTAATATAAATATTTCACAACAGGTTCCAAAGGAAAAAGGAGCAGTTGGGTAGCCCAGTGGTTACAGCATTTGCTCGTCACACCGAAGACAGGGGTTCCTTTTTTAAGTTTATATTATGTATTTAACCAATATATGACTTACTTTTTGCAGATCCTCATGGAAGCTCCCAATCTTTTGACGTCCCCTCAAGGAATACACTGGTGCTTGTTTCTTACCCCCCTCGATTGTCCTACCCAGCTGTTCTGGCAGTCGGTAGGCATTAGGGGCTGTAGTAAACATGTAGGAATTCAACAAATATGTTACAGAATACAAGCCATACAGCATCTTCTTTGCAATGTCAACTGAATGGTTCAAAGATTACAGGTCAGTTGTTTTGTTAATCCAAAAGGCCCACTGAGATACTGATCTTGATTTTTTTTATACCCAAACCTTTTAGCTGATATGTAACCTAATAATATTATTTGATATCTAACCTAATTGTTTGTATGTACATTCAATCTGAAGCTACAGATTGAAAGATTGTTCATACTGTTTTTCACAGTTACAAAAAATTACTTGCTAAATATATATATGACAGCATGAAAGCAGTTGGTATTGACAAGAAAAATAATGCTGACAAAGCATGTTTACAATATATTATCAGTTCCTCATACATTTAATACAGCATACCTGGGGTACTGTCTGACTTCCTGTTTAAATGTCTGTTTCCAAATGAATATTTGGGGGCCCCAAGACATGCCGAGGTGAGACCTGCATTCTCAGGCCTGTAGGCACCTGGGCCTGGTGTTTTGTGGGTAGAGAGATCTCGGGGGCGACTATATAGTGAATAGTGGGGAGCCCCATCCCTGCCATCTCGGTACAGTTTAGCTTCAGGCAAATATGCAGGGCCTGGGCCACAGTCATCCCTGAACTTGCCATGCCTCACACCGAAAGAATAAGCTGGGTTTTTCCTATGGGGACTCCTGGGATCGTGCTCATTGACGCCAGTCAATCCTGGAAGTGCATACTGGGGTCCGGGACTACCGAACATGGGAGCAATGGGCCCCCGCGGGCGGGTCTCCTTCCATACACTTTGTGAAACACACGGCATCTTGGTCGCTGGAACATGATAAACAGTTCCTTAATTTCAACTGATAAATGAACATATCTACAAGGGTGAGTGTGTAAAATATCTACACATTTCTTAGATGTCCCTACTCAGAATGTATTCTATATTTGCAGATCTCCCTGCAGAACCAAATTTTCATATATTTACGTGACCTACATTCTGAACAAGTACAATCAAACATTTTTGTGTTGAAGTTGAAAGTACCTACATACATACTTCCACTTACCTGAAGATTGACACAACCGAAAAATAACTTGGCATACATCTACCAACATGAAGAATGAATAACACGAAACACATGCGACAATGAAATAAATGACCAACATTACTTTTATTATTGATCATTTTGGTATCTACGTCATCAAAATTTCTCATTCTAATTCTCTTACATGCTGGAGAATATGAAGATAGAAGGAAAGCCTACTTAATCATTGCCAACTGCTTAATCCATGTTGGCGAGGACCCAAAAGTCTGGCATTTTGCCATTTAGTTTTAGAACCCAGCCCAACTGTCGTTAACTACAGTGGAAACCTGATAAGTAAACTTTCAAGGGACTCGCCAAAATTGTTTACTTATCAGGTATTTTACTTATCCAAACTTATAAAAACCTGCAAATGACAACCGTATGTATGTATATGTATGCATATGTAACAATGAACAACTTATCAGGGCTGGCCTCCAGTTGTCAGTGTATTGTCCACTGCTGAAGCCAGCAAGCTGTAAGTAGGATGTTTGTTTGACTGGAGACTGACATGACTGCCTCTCATGTCGGATTATGTGGTGATCGCTAGTTTAGTTATCCAGTATCTTTTGTTAAGTAATTTACTTCCAGGGACCGTGAGAGACGTTTAGTTAAGCGGTATTGTTTACTTATCCGAGTTTAGTTAACCAGACTCTAATAGTGATAATTAATGAAGAAATTTGCCGGGACCAAAGAAAAGTGTTTACTTATCAGGTCTGTTTAGTTAAGCGGTCTTTACTTAGGCGGTTTCCACTGTACCTCATACTCAGTCTCCATACATTTTCCTGTTGAATTTATTTAATTTAAATGTAGGATGATATGATCCGGTCATCTTCCTGGTTAAACCAGGCCCTTCACTGGATTGCTCAGTCGTGTACTGATTCTTTCGGTATCTATCCAACATTCTATAACAGCAGTAAAACATAAGGAATATAAATGCAAATCCTAATCTGATGCACATTCCACATTTTGTAATCATGTCACTTCATTCACTTATCAATGACCTGTTAATCCCCCAAAAGACAGATCAATCAACCAGAGCTACAGATAACTTTTTGGGTCATTGAGTTATGTACTCGCTTGTCTTCATCTCAATTGGGTATCCTAATTTTCTTTTGAGGAACAAAATAAATTGTACTCACCTCACTCAAACTCAATTGAGTATTTTGCCATTTTCCATTAATTTTAAAAATATAATAAAATTTAAATGTTAGTGTTTGTGATTTACATTTGATCTGTAAGATGGGAAACGACAAGAAAGACTGCAAGTTGTCAAGTTCATGTCCTGAAATAAAACCTCTCAATATACTTCAGTTATTTTATCTATCCACCGGTACGCAAGCTACGATTTGACATTTCTGTGTGTACGCATGTAAGATCACATTTATTGAGTATTTACGAAACTTCAAGCGTACTTGTACGCAATAGACTTAATACGAATTGAGTTTTCACATAAATATTTGCGTAATTTACGCAGATACGCAGCTTATCTGTATCTCTGATCAACTGCTTTCTAGCAGTTAGTAGTGACTGTGTCACTAACAAGACAATAGGACTTTTTACAGACTGAACTTACTGCAATAAGTTCTTACTGCATTTTGCCTTGTTGATTGAATTACATGTACCGGTAATTCAATGAATGATCAATGTGTTGTGCTGAGATTGTCTTAGGGTAAATTTGTGCTGAATGTACAAGTTTGGGGACTGGAAAATAACTTCAAGACAACCGTAACTTTGAAACATCAGAGGTTAATAAATGATGAATAAATAAATAAGGAATATGCAGGGATCAAGCTTTTACATCAAGAGAACCGTAAGTTCAGCATATCAAACTTTGACACAACAGTGTTTGACTCAAAGTATAATATTGGCTCAATTCTGACTGGAGACATAATGCACTTATTTGAATGGTGTGGACTAACTGACTTTTATAAAAGGTTCTTTTAGGAGTGTATCTGAATCTCAAAGTTAGTGAATATTAGGAGAAACACTTATTCCATTATTAAACTGTCAGATCCATGATAATTATTTTACATTTAAATTTGTAGGAATACTGAGAATAGGCCCTTTACTAATGTCAATGTATTCACTTCTAATCAGAAAATGTGTATCATGATCATAACACTTTAATAGCAAGTGTGTGTAAGTCTCTATGTGTCTGTGTTGACATGTGATAACAACAAGCAATGTGTCATTATATCACCACTGACCATGCCTATTATAAATTTGTTCTCACGTTTAAAATATGAACTCATTTCAGACAAAAGTCAATTTTAAAATCCTTGAAAAAGAAATATTAAATCTCCTATAAGAAAAAAATTAGCTAATTCACAAAAGAATATTTTAACAAATTTATCAATTTGCATAAGCCATTCTTCGGTAAGATCACAAATGTTAAATAATCTGACAGACATTTGACCTGGAATTTGAACAAAAATCGGAACCTGGCACTAATACTGTGGTGAAAGAAAACCAATAAAACCAATAAATAAAAGAAAATACTGGGATAATTATATGAATTAATCAAATAAGGTAACAATGCTCCGAATACACATAGGAAAACTTTCCAGTACACACACTTGGCAAACATATCATGTTGCCAGGTTACATAACATGTGTAGGTGAGTTAAAACCGTTTCCAGGCAAATAAAGTACTCAAATGCATTACAAATATCAAAGCTTGAAATTTATTAGGAGTTTTACTGCGTAAAATTCCACAGCAGGTCAAGTATTGAGCAGGTATAAAGATAACATCCGTCAGCATGACTGAGGCCAACTGCTGTAGTGTTTACTGACTAGCACCTGGGCAACCTGTTCTGGCACTCCACTGTTGTGTGTTGACGTCTCTTTATCCATTCTTAATCAGTGATATCTGTATATCAGTAGAACAAGCCTCCACCTCAGTCACCTATCACTTTCTGCAGTTTATTGATGAATTTATCTAATATATATATTTTTTCAGAATATATTTCATTCGATTTTTGGGGGGTTATTTTTAGTAGTCCCGGCTTTATGTGCTGAGGAAAAAGTAGAATTAAGGGTTTGAAAGTTTTGTGACCACAGTTTGTCTGAGCAAGATTGTGAAGTTTGCTAGAGTTAATAAAAGTTAAAAGTTACTTTCAATATCATGTCGACTTGGACATGAGATATTGGGAACTTCGTGTTGTTGTATGGTTTAAATTTATATTTCAATTTCACCAGCAGAATAAGAAAGGTAATCAAAACGAATGTTTACGTGTGCGGCCACATTTAACAAAACGTTATTTGCAAACCAACAGACGGTGTGTAATCTTGCGAGTCGACCATACCGGTGATTATGGAGATTATTATTCACAGCCACGCACCTATGACATTTGGAAACAAAGTCTTTCCTTAACTGTTTCAATATCGCGATTTTTGACACCAGATATTAACTTACCTGCATAATGACAATAGCTGAGTGTTATAAAGACAAAACAACTGGACTCACCTGTGTCAATCAAGCAGTGTACCGTTTCAGCGTGATAACCCCTAGATATTGCCCCTAAACCACTGTCAGCTTGCGGGTCTACAGTTGCTCCATAAACATGGATACCCAGACACTAACACATGTGACCCATTTCTGGTATTTTCATTGGTTGGATTAGTTGTCGAATTTGCCTTAGAAACAAGGCGAATAACTCTAATCTCTCGTCTACAGCAGGTGCCCGTTAACCGCTATAAAGTGTTACGCTTCGGTCGCATTCAAACGGGTTCTTGAACAATGTAGGTGGTTGCCTGCAGGGAAACGTTTTTTAAAGAAACGTGTCCTCGCAGAAAAAGTCACCTTGGGATGTTGATATTCCAAACAGCAGAGTATTTTATTGGATAAACATTAGTTGAAAATCATTTCCAATTTTAAACTTTATGTCAACATTTTAACTAGTTATTTGGCTTGTTCAATTATTTCTCTTCGTTGAAAGACATTCACTTGAAGGAGTAAGGATTTACGGCGTTTTTGACAAATAAAGAAGCTGATGAAATAAACAATAAATAAACATAACCCATTGACTTATATGATATTATTGTAGTGTTCGGTTCATCACTAATCCCTTATGAATTAAACAGAATCATCGGTAAAATAAAAGTTTTGTTTTGGATCGATTGGTTAGCGTAATTGCCATAAATGTCACAAATGTAATTCCAAATAGCCCTGAAACTATAGACTTCACTAAACCAACGTGGTGAACAGTAACTCCAGACTGAGTTACTGATGACGCAATATTTTAGTTGTTTAATTAATCCATCACACGAATGGAGAGATGACAAGATCACTGGCATTTACAGACAGGCACTGAGAGAGATCCAGATAGACACACGCACATGCAGACCGAGAAACGGGCATACGCAGATAGTCAGAGAGACAGACAGGCAGGCAGACAGACAGACAGACACACACGTTCGTGCATACGTGCACATGTCTATGTATGAATACACTACTACTACTACTACTACTATTACTACTACGACGACGACTACTACTACTACGAAGACGACGATGACAACGACGACTAATACTACTAACTACTACTACTACTACTACTACTACTACTACTACTACTACTACGTACTCGTAAATATCCGAGTTAGAATTGATCTTCAGCAACCCATGCTTGTCGTAAGAGGCGACTAACAGGATCGGGTGGTCAGGCTCTCTTCATGGTTGACACATGTCTTTGTATTCCAAATGCGTAGATCGATGCTCATGTTGTTGATGACTCGATTATTTACAGACTGTCGCCATGTAGCTGGAATATTGCCGAGTGCGGCGTTAAACATCAAACCAACCAACCAAATACTACCACGACGACGACCACCACCACTACTACTACTCTTAAATATAATGGGGGCGGCGGGGAAGCCTAATGGTTATATAGCGTCCGCTCGTCACACTGAAGACGCCGTGATATTGCTGGAATATTGCTATTTTTCATAGGGGCGTAAAACCATACTCATTCACTTAAATATAATGGTAATAGATGGACTATTATCATGCTGAATGTGCATGACGCAAGTAACCACACTTTCGGAAAAAACAGTACAACATAACCATGCACACAACCATTTTCTAACTACATGTACATTACTAGTACTCACTATACAAATTACCAGCTGGACTAGAGTTGACTGATCGTGTACGCTGTTAAAGAAACACACATACAGCGCTGATCCTACGTATTTTTTTCAGACCTGACTCCTGTAAGCCCTTTAGAATAAAGCTGAACAATACTTTCACGCTTGTTATGATATGAATAACACCGTCAATGAAATACACAACCAGTGGGCATGTCTCTGTGTGTGTTCAAGACATCTCGAGATTACTAGTATAATACCCCTTTGTTGGACTGTGACGCTTAGGAAACATCTTGCTAATTTTTAACGTATAATCCAAGAAATGACTTAGCTTGTTTATTAAACGCAGTAGGTTAAATCAATAAGTAGTATTGCTCAACAAATAAATTGGGTTGCATATACGGAGACAGGTGGTCTATCGCGTTTCAAGTATCAAAACATACAAGTTATTGATCATATATCGATATAGCAATATCTAATTTGCTATATAGGCCAACAGACATAGTTGACAAGCCTTGGTCTATTCACGTTTTATTGCTAGTCCCGCGTCAAGCAATGATATACTGACTGCCGAGCTTAAAAGTCTTTGTTTGTCAGGGTAAATGACATGGTGGCCGTTAAGTTAAGTGGGCCTTTGTGATATGAATGTGGGGAAAGGACTTACTAGTTGTGCTGAAATACTGTCGCTTTAGCCTAATGTGAGTCTCGATTGTTTGTCAGCCATTTGGGAATTTATTAGAGCTGAATTTCGTTCCCCTGACATACCCATTATTGATATTGTGGGTACTTGTTTCTTAATAGTGCAGTAATCGTTGTGGGCGGTCGGTTTGCTTGCGATTTGGACATAATAAATTATGTTTGTCCCGTGGTGGAGTGTTCCGACCCAGAGGCGTAGGCTTTGTTAGGTTAATTGTCTGACAGAATGCACTGAACTGGATGGGTATAATGTATGAGAGAGTCGTATCGATCAGCTTTCTGATGCTATATGAGCAGGGTACTGGTGCACTTGATCTGTATGCAAATAGATCGATACATGGTGAGATCGATCGTTTTGGTTGACGGAGCATTGACATAGTCAGCGAGTATATCAATATTGTTTTGCGCAGCAGATGTGATGTTCATGTTATGTCATGACGTAGATGTGTCACGTATTATGCATGGGCGGATCCAGAGAGGGGTGCAGGTAGCCTCCCCTCCCCCTGTGCTGATAAATGACCATTGAACCTCGGGTGAAAATGAAGTGTGCATCCCTCCTTTTCGCAATAGTGTGCATCCACCTTCCTCAAAAACCTGTATCCGCGCCTGTTATATATACCAACACATAAATAACAAATAATGAGCCAGGCAAGCCAGTGGTTGATGGTATGAGCACGTCATGATGAATGACATTAGTCGGCCACCCGGTGCTCATCATAGTTGTCTGTGATATCGGAAGCATTCTGATCTGGACCCAGTTGTATCACCCTAATCACTAATTCTTATTGATTTATAAACTAATGGCGGAATAACAATGGGTTGTAGAAAACAATATTAACAAACGATTCTTTATGTATACGATTTGTCAGGAACGTTTGGGAATTCTTCTATTTTCCATAAATATTTGGGTATTCCTAGAGTTTTCATGAACATTTAGGTATCCCTGGAACGCTTTTTACCACAATTCCTTGCTAACAAACAGGGGCGGTGGGGTAGCCTAGTGGTTAAAGCGTTGGCTCGTCACGCTGAAGACCCGGGTTCGAATCCCCACATGGGTAAAATGTGTGAAGCCCATTTCTGGTGTCCCCCGCCGTGATGTTGCTGGAATATTGCTAAAAGCGGCGTAAAACCAAACTCAGTGAGTAAGTCAGTGCTAACAAACAGCACTCTTTGTTTTTGGCATATTCACTGACCAAGCTGCGTGGAGATACAGGTCTTTCAAAGCGAAGGTTTGTCAAGTCATAACTACGATATCCACCTCTTATGGTTTTGTGATGTACAGTTCGTGTTTGAGGTTACAGTGTAAAACATATCTTTTGATCGGACCCCAACGTAGCATTGTATAATTATTATAGACGCTTGGTTTGATGATAGGTTAATTGTACATACAAGTATGGAATATCCGTTATGTGAGAATGGTCTCTGCCAGAATGACCGATACACTAGTCAATAGAGTTTCATTCACTCGGATCTTGTTTTCTGACCAGTCTTCCTTTGTAAGTCAACTGCCATACACTAGTATATTACACGGTTTTCATGTAGTTAGCACCAGTACAATCACGCCCATCTACAGTATATTGAGGAACAGAAAAATATTGTCGACAGTGGAAGCAACCAGGCAACAGTACTTGTTTGGTAATTGATTCATATGTAGTTTTCACCAGACCCCAATTCACAATAATAATGTACATCTACACCCTCACCCTAACGTTCCTCGTCATACCTTGGATCCTAGATCTATGTATTTCAGTTATTGGTCTGTCTGGTCCAGATGTGATTGTTTTCTAGTGTTGGGAAGTGTTTGAACTGATGACTGGTTCATTACAAACGAGCAGTCATCGAAAAAAAATGGTTAGCGCCATTTTTCAGATTTTCCTGTTCAGGTTTTTATTGCAGATAAGTATAAAGAAAAAACATGTGGTTTTCTGTTTCATTTAGAAACCATATAGCTGGAATATTGCTGAGTGTGGCGTAAAATTAAACTCACTCACTCCTTTGTTCTTATTTCTAAATGTGAAAACCGTATGTCATATTGTTTCAGATACGTCAGTACAGAATATAAAGATGTCCTGAATAGTACCTGCCCTATCTCCATATCTGAATATCTTCTTATATAATATCGAATATTCTCTATTAATTTTTATCAAAGAAAAATGGCAGATCGATCGCTGCAACATGTCGATGATGTAAACATCCAAGTAAACAATGCAATCTGCGGTAGGCTATCCCTATTCAACACAATGGTGTTCGCGGAGATCGATGAAGCAGGTCTCACCTGTGAGGGTCAGGCGGTATAAGGTAGATCAAGGTACGGACAGGTGTTTGACTTCCTGCCTGATGTTATCGATTGCCGTCTCACGAGTAGAAGGTCCAAAGTTAATCAATCAACTCACCAAGGAAACAAAATACAGTATTGATTGTGATTTCTTGCATGGAAGTAAACAGATAAACATGTATAGCTACGTCGCTATGTATTCGTGTATGCTTTTTGCCTGTATGTTAAGATTGTATACCCCATAACGCACTTGGATCGCAATATGTTTGCCAATACATAGCCCTAATGTACATCACATATCAAAAGCATATTGTAACATTCTCTGACACATCGGTGGTCTGGTATTAGCATGTACAATAATTTGCACCAATATTTTAGGGCCTGTTAAAAATATTCATTCCCAGTGGGTAACGCCAACAATCTCTATATATTACAGTCATAGATGCTACGGAAGAAATTACGCAAATGCATTAATATTAAAGCCTATTCAAATATGTAACTCTCTCTCTCTCTCTCTCTCTCTCTCTCTCTCTCTGTATATATAAATGTCGGTAGGTAGGTAACTAGATAGGTAGGGTAAGTAATTAGATAGGTAGGTAGGTAACCTGGTAAGTAACCAAATATCAACAAATTATTTAATACTTGTTTATTTCAAAGTGGAGTACTTTGTGATAAAAACTGACCCGCTGTCATCTTCGGCATCCTCGAAGACAGGGAATTTCGCCGACGTTGGCCGACTGTTGACGACTCGGCTCCCATGACGTCTGGAAGGTGTCTCTGTTTTGTAATACGGTGGTTTAACATCAAGCTTACCCTCGAACAGTTTCAGCAACCCGTGAACATACAGGATGAGATTATCTGCATCAGGGCACCTGTTACTCGCAATCGATTCATTAAAGTAAGACTTGTTTGAAGTAAAAACACATTTTTGTATATCCGACGAACAAACTGGCATGCTTGAGTAATGAGTTCTGATATAGTTCAGCAAAATTCCAACAGTTTTCTCTATCATAGTGTTTCCCGAGAGAGATGTATATTCTTTAATATATTTATCGTTGACACCTAACTCTTTCGAAAGATCTTCTAAACATGTGATGGCTCTATCTGATCTCTGTCGTTCACTCGGAATCATGACCGCGCTCTGAACGTGTTGTGGGACAGATATTTGGTATGTAGGGCCCGGCGTCCGTTGTATCCTAATATGACTGCTACCCCTGTGATCAGTCAGGCCCAAGAGGGTGGAAGGTGCGCGGCGAGTGGTCAGTCGTGTGGAGACAGAGTAGTCCAAAGGGCTCGGTATCATATAGTTAGTCTGCCGTCTGCGATTCTTCTGGGGTCCTACTTCAGCCTGGGATGATCGTGGCTCGGGGTAGAACATTGGCTCATCCACCGTTGTTGGGTGATTTTGAGGGGAAGGGACTTCATCGACCTTTTTACCAAACAGTGGCCTTGACCCTGGTCTGCTTGAGGATGGTGCAGAGATACTGGACGCTGAATCGGAGAACATCACGAAGAACTTGATCAGGGTTATCCTTAATATGCAGTCCCTGAAGAAAGATATATATCATATCCAAAAGCAAGTCTATGCTGGATTTGAAAATCAGAGATTTCAGTACAAATAAAGAAATACTCTGGGAGGGGCAAAGGAAGCTACATGCATATCACTCAGTTGATGGTTTATTTAGTGAACACACTAGTCTACATCCCTTTGCCCTCACTTTATCAAAGTGTATAATTTACTTCAGCTGAAACAAAAACCAAATATCAAGAAACGTGCCCGATTCGTCACATGGACACAGCGTGAAAGTCTGACTGTACGAAAGCGATGAGAGAGAGAGAGAGAGAGAGAGAGAGAGAGAGAGAGAGAGAGAGAGAGAGAGAGAGAGAGAGAGAGAGAGAGAGAGAGAGAGAGAGAGAGAGAGAGAGAGAGAGAGAGAGAGAGAGAGAGAGAGAGAGAGAGAGAGGAGGAGAAAAAGCCAATACACGTCCATAAAACCCATAAACAGATGCCAACTGACGGGCGTACACAAACGTATACCGCAAACTCAAGCTGTTTAAATGAGTGTACAAGCCAATAGCAGCATTGTAGAAGGTTATTCACCACAATGGGCTCTGTGTTGCGCCTGAGCACCAGTCAAGTATAACATGACCGTAGTCAGAAAATTATACCCCATTATGCCTATGCCATTGAAAGAAATCACGTACCTGCCTCGCTGAATAAATATCCCACGGTGAAGGCGTACCAACACGGGAAGGAAATCTGTGATAGAAACTGGCACAGGTCGGGGTGACCACGTGACGAGTCAAGACGTCGAACGTATGCCTATTGCAACTGTCTGATGGTTAATTTGGCGAGTGGCAATGGTTTGGGAAATAGGACATGTTAATACTTCGTCAGAAGTTGTCCAGTTGAGCTGATGGTATTCATATACAGAGCGGGATTCCAGGGAACGCTTGATCGTTTCCAGTCAGTGAGCGAGCTGTTGTCCATAACAACGAGTAAACAAACTCGGTGGCAAGGTCCGTATGGATTCCGAAAATAATACCTCTTGCTTGATTAACACGCCCGAAAGAATGCAAAGACAAATGCACGCAAAAACAGGAGATTTTCTTTGAGAAACGACATAATAGTTAGACTTGATGTAACCTTTGACTGTTCAAAACAGCAAAATCTGTAGTTCGATATCGCCTGAGGGCATATTGTTTTTCTTCCAAAAGATAATGCTGTATTTGCTGACGTACTATGACATGGATGAAGGCTAGTACTTGAAACTCATTACTCACATTAAAGCACAAAAATGTCAGTTGGACTGGGTCACCAAGGCATGTACTACCTGGAGTAAACTTAATTAAGTATGTTAATACGTTGATATTAATGGGTTTTCCAAATAAGGAGAGTTCAACAAAATAATGGCCGGGTTTTCGGGGGTTTTTTCAACCCCGATACTCCCTAGAAAACTTGAAAACACTGATAACAAAACAATCCACAGGCAAAGGGTTGTGCGCCGAGACTTGATGCAAACAACATTGTGATGTGATATATGTACCCTTTAATATACGAAAGTAAGATCGTAAATAACACGTTTGATGGTCGGTGCACACACACACACTTTTATGTGGCGAATGAAACATACTAAGTACATGCCTTCAGAGTAGATGATGAGTAGTCGGGTGAACTGACAAGTGAAAATGGTCACAAGCATAACTGAAAAGTCCTACGTAGGTAAGTGTGTAAGAACAAATCGTTCACAACTATATCCAGGCATGCAGGAGTGGGCCCATTCGAAAAGAAATATAATGTATCGTCACTTTCCGATGTCAATGAGACACATGTACCTTTGGGTGGAAATTCAACCAAATATAAAAAAGCTAAAAAATAAAAAATAAAAATGGAAATGTCTACTGCACCCGGTGTTCCCAGGCGGTCACCCATCCAAGTACTATCCGGGCCCGACGTTGCTTAACTTCGGTGATCGGACGAGAACCGGTGTTTTCAACGTGGTATGGCCGTAGACAGATGTCAGCGGCAAACTTTACCTACATATACACACAGGGTAATGGGGGAAGGGAAACTGCCATGAAACAGCTTTCTCGCGTTTTCAGTGGGTGTACACAATGATGTGTTTCTTGATTTGGCTATATCTTTACACGAATGAAGTCTGGCACTTGTGATACACGTCAACACTGTTTCTATGCGCATCTGCCACGAGAAAGGACACATTCGTTCGCCCCTGCTCGCCTGAAACATTCAGTTTTCGTCCCCCCAATAAAAACCATGCATGTAGTAGCCTATATGTTGTTTTTCGAATAAAATTAACATCAAAACGAGGAAGGCCCATACTGTCGTGATGCCAAGAAAGTCGGGTTAATCGTGGCAGGCAAAAATATTTAATCTGTGACGATCGCGACTGCTGGTATCTGAACCTATGTACTACATTTTACTCTACACATGGGCGTTCGCGACCCGCTTGTGTCCCGGGATTCGCGTCTTAGCACACTGTTTCTTGAGAGAAACATCCAAGTTACTTAGTACTTATGAGACAAAGCAAATTTCAACTGAAAATGTAGTGCCCCAAATCATGTGTTCAGTAATAGTGTCAAATGTTTTCTGTCGCAAAATGGCGAACTTGCCAGAGAAACGTGCTTCATTGCCTTTGTTTGGGCGCTTGTTTTAGCTTATCAGAGGCAGTAACGAGGGGTGTTGTGGTTTACTTTCATAGTTAGATATCTTGAGAAACGACATGTAACATTTGAAAGATTGAATTTGTGTCTAAAGGCTCGAAATGTGCTTTTGAAACAAGCGATGTCTGCATTTTAGACGCGATGGCTTCATTGAAAATAGCCCGTGTGGCTTCAACATTCACCTGTGGTTGTTGTTATTGTAACAGACATGTAGCCAAATGTTTTTTGCATCCAATCATGTACTTACATTGGAAACTTTCCCCGATTAAGAAGTGATTATTAAGATACAAATGCACGAGAAAGCACACGCGCTCCCGAGCTTGCAACTATCAGCCACAACAAGCAGGGTGTCTCCTCCGACGTCCGCGCCGCAGTAGTATCACCCGGGCTGGCTGTCGGGGAGAGGCATTCGCTCTCTGTGCTTCGTTTGTAGCTGACGTGACTTTCTACACTCAAACCTACCATTATGGCTGATGTTGCTGCTGCCCCCGCTGCTGTCAAGACTCCCAAGAAGAAGGCTGCTGCCAAGCCGAAGAAGGTTGCTGCACATCCTACTTATTTGGAGATGATCAAGAAAGCTATTTCATCCTTGAAGGAAAGGGGTGGTTCTTCCCGACAGGCTGTTCTGAAATACATCCTGGCCAACTACAAAGTTGGTGACAACCAGGTCGCCATCAATGCTCGCATCAAGACTGCTTTGAAAAATGGAGTCAATAACGGCGCACTGAAGCAATCAAAGGGAACTGGAGCTGCTGGGTCCTTCCGTCTTGGCGAGGTAAAGAAAGCTGAAAAAACCCAAGAAGGCTAAGCCAGCTGCCAAGCCAAAGAAGGCTGCCAAATCTCCCAAGAAAGTCAAGAAGCCAGCTGCCGCCAAGAAACCTAAGACAGCCGCTAAGAAGGCCGCCAAGTCACCAAAGAAGGTGAAGGCTGCAGCCAAGCCAAAGAAGGCAAAGACCCCTAAGAAGGCAGCGGCCAAACCCAAGAAGGTCAAGACCCCCAAGAAGAAGGCAACCAAGCCAAAGAAGGCATAAGCTCTCTTTGTCTCGCCTTCGCTCCACATTTCTGTGGTCCAAAGGCCCTTTTCAGGGCCATCCAAATACCCCAAAAGAAAACTTGAAAACAGTGATAACAAAACAATGCTATTTATTTCAGCAGTATATCAGTAAGAAAGAATGCGTTTTTGTGATAACAGGTATGGTGTGAATGATGGGTTAGACTGATCATAATTAAAAATTCAGCCTTAGCAATAACTTCTTTGCCCGACAGTAAGTACACAGAGAGGGTAGCAATACCGAGGTACCCATCAAACTCAAAGGTGAGGCAAATGCCGTTGATCAAGGAGGCTGCCTGTAAAAACCTATACATTGAGCAAAGAAGGATTTGATGAGTATGTTCCTAAATTGATATTATAGTGGGAGTTCTAAACCCTATCTAATGGCCGGTGTGTTTGGTTTTGTTTTTACTTACACCCAAGCCCAATAGCCCCAACAAAATACCTAAAAACATACACATTGAGCAAAGAAGGATTTTATAAGTATGTTCCTACATTGGTGATATAGTGGGAGTTCAAAACACTATATCTTAAGGCCGGTGTGTTTGGTTTTGTTTTTACTTACACCCAGCCCCAAGAACCCCAAAAAACTAAATAAATGGAAGTAAATAAAATAAACAAAGGAAAATATACGCAAGATCAACAAAAGCTTAACATAAACAAAGCAATTTGTGAAGCAAAGAATGCAAATTATACGTGTATGATGTAAAGTGTCGTTGATATCAGATATCGTCAATGCAGGGTTCCCTATGTGTGTAGCTACACATGCACGTTGACATCCACGGGGTGTTTTACCGACACACGTCTCGCCTATGCACGACTTTTCACATAGGGTGGCAAGAGTTGTGCACCCTTTGGTCGTGAGAGGCGTGTGAGTTTTGGATTCCCCAATCCATGCAACGCGGCTGTTATGTGTCGAAGTATAGGTACGGAAATAATTTCTAATACATGTACAGTACGGCTGCGTGACTTAGCTAGAACTGGAAACATAAAATAGCTGACTGATGCCATGCCATGCCATGCCATGTGTTTTGAAAGCATGGAAACAGCGTGGGCTTGCTGTCACAGCTTTGGAAGTCATTTTATTTCAGCAAACCAGTGAATCCTATAACAGGCGTTCAATACGATGTACCTTTTCCTTATTATCTACTCTGCACAGGCAAAGGGTTGTGCGCCGAGACTTGATGCAAACAACATTGTGATGTGATATATGTACCCTTTAATATACGAAAGTAAGATCGTAAATAACACGTTTGATGGTCGGTGCACACACACACTTTTATGTGGCGAATGAAACATACTAAGTACATGCCTTCAGAGTAGATGATGAGTAGTCGGGTGAACTGACAAGTGAAAATGGTCACAAGCATAACTGAAAAGTCCTACGTAGGTAAGTGTGTAAGAACAAATCGTTCACAACTATATCCAGGCATGCAGGAGTGGGCCCATTCGAAAAGAAATATAATGTATCGTCACTTTCCGATGTCAATGAGACACATGTACCTTTGGGTGGAAATTCAACCAAATATAAAAAGCTAAAAATAAAAATAAAAATGGAAATGTCTACTGCACCCGGTGTTCCCAGGCGGTCACCCATCCAAGTACTATCCGGGCCCGACGTTGCTTAACTTCGGTGATCGGACGAGAACCGGTGTTTTCAACGTGGTATGGCCGTAGACAGATGTCAGCGGCAAACTTTACCTACATATACACACAGGGTAATGGGGGAAGGGAAACTGCCATGAAACAGCTTTCTCGCGTTTTCAGTGGGTGTACACAATGATGTGTTTCTTGATTTGGCTATATCTTTACACGAATGAAGTCTGGCACTTGTGATACACGTCAACACTGTTTCTATGCGCATCTGCCACGAGAAAGGACACATCTCGTTCGCCCCTGCTCGCCTGAAACATTCAGTTTTCGTCCCCCCAATAAAAACCATGCATGTAGTAGCCTATATGTTGTTTTTCGAATAAAATTAACATCAAAACGAGGAAGGCCCATACTGTCGTGATGCCAAGAAAGTCGGGTTAATCGTGGCAGGCAAAAATATTTAATCTGTGACGATCGCGACTGCTGGTATCTGAACCTATGTACTACATTTTACTCTACACATGGGCGTTCGCGACCCGCTTGTGTCCCGGATTCGCGTCTTAGCACACTGTTTCTTGAGAGAAACATCCAAGTTACTTAGTACTTATGAGACAAAGCAAATTTCAACTGAAAATGTAGTGCCCCAAATCATGTGTTCAGTAATAGTGTCAAATGTTTTCTGTCGCAAAATGGCGAACTTGCCAGAGAAACGTGCTTCATTGCCTTTGTTTGGGCGCTTGTTTTAGCTTATCAGAGGCAGTAACGAGGGGTGTTGTGGTTTACTTTCATAGTTAGATATCTTGAGAAACGACATGTAACATTTGAAAGATTGAATTTGTGTCTAAAGGCTCGAAATGTGCTTTTGAAACAAGCGATGTCTGCATTTTAGACGCGATGGCTTCATTGAAAATAGCCCGTGTGGCTTCAACATTCACCTGTGGTTGTTGTTATTGTAACAGACATGTAGCCAAATGTTTTTTGCATCCAATCATGTACTTACATTGGAAACTTTCCCCGATTAAGAAGTGATTATTAAGATACAAATGCACGAGAAAGCACACGCGCTCCCGAGCTTGCAACTATCAGCCACAACAAGCAGGGTGTCTCCTCCGACGTCCGCGCCGCAGTAGTATCACCCGGGCTGGCTGTCGGGGAGAGGCATTCGCTCTCTGTGCTTCGTTTGTAGCTGACGTGACTTTCTACACTCAAACCTACCATTATGGCTGATGTTGCTGCTGCCCCCGCTGCTGTCAAGACTCCCAAGAAGAAGGCTGCTGCCAAATGAAGAAGGTTGCTGCACATCCTACTTATTTGGAGATGATCAAGAAAGCTATTTCATCCTTGAAGGAAAGGGGTGGTTCTTCCCGACAGGCTGTTCTGAAATACATCCTGGCCAACTACAAAGTTGGTGACAACCAGGTCGCCATCAATGCTCGCATCAAGACTGCTTTGAAAATGGAGTCAATAACGGCGCACTGAAGCAATCAAAGGGAACTGGAGCTGCTGGGTCCTTCCGTCTTGGCGAGGTAAAGAAAGCTGAAAACCCAAGAAGGCTAAAGCCAGCTGCCAAGCCAAAGAAGGCTGCCAAATCTCCCAAGAAAGTCAAGAAGCCAGCTGCTGCCAAGAAACCTAAGACAGCCGCTAAGAAGGCCGCCAAGTCACCAAAGAAGGTGAAGGCTGCAGCCAAGCCAAAGAAGGCAAAGACCCCTAAGAAGGCAGCGGCCAAACCCAAGAAGGTCAAGACCCCCAAGAAGAAGGCAACCAAGCCAAAGAAGGCATAAGCTCTCTTTGTCTCGCCTTCGCTCCACATTTCTGTGGTCCAAAGGCCCTTTTCAGGGCCATCCAAATACCCCAAAAGAAAACTTGAAAACAGTGATAACAAAACAATGCTATTTATTTCAGCAGTATATCAGTAAGAAAGAATGCGTTTTTGTGATAACAGGTATGGTGTGAATGATGGGTTAGACTGATCATAATTAAAAATTCAGCCTTAGCAATAACTTCTTTGCCCGACAGTAAGTACACAGAGAGGGTAGCAATACCGAGGTACCCATCAAACTCAAAGGTGAGGCAAATGCCGTTGATCAAGGAGGCTGCCTGTAAAAACCTATACATTGAGCAAAGAAGGATTTGATGAGTATGTTCCTAAATTGATATTATAGTGGGAGTTCTAAACCCTATCTAATGGCCGGTGTGTTTGGTTTTGTTTTTTACTTACACCCAAGCCCAATAGCCCCAACAAAATACCTAAAACATACACATTGAGCAAAGAAGGATTTTATAAGTATGTTCCTACATTGGTGATATAGTGGGAGTTCAAAACACTATATCTTAAGGCCGGTGTGTTTTGTTTTGTTTTACTTACACCCAGCCCCAAGAACCCCAAAAACTAAATAAATGGAAGTAAATAAAATAAACAAAGGAAAATATACGCAAGATCAACAAAAGCTTAACATAAACAAAGCAATTTGTGAAGCAAAGAATGCAAATTATACGTGTATGATGTAAAGTGTCGTTGATATCAGATATCGTCAATGCAGGGTTCCCTATGTGTAGCTACACATGCACGTTGACATCCACGGGTGTTTTACCGACACACGTCTCGCCTATGCACGACTTTTCACATAGGGTGGCAAGAGTTGTGCACCCTTGGTCGTGAGAGGCGTGTGAGTTTTGATTCCCCAATCCATGCAACGCGGCTGTTATGTGTCGAAGTATAGGTACGGAAATAATTTCTAATACATGTACAGTACGGCTGCGTGACTTAGCTAGAACTGGAAACATAAAATAGCTGACTGATGCCATGCCATGCCATGCCATGTGTGTTTGAAAGCATGGAAACAGCGTGGGCTTGCTGTCACAGCTTTGGAAGTCATTTTATTTCAGCAAACCAGTGAATCCTATAACAGGCGTTCAATACGATGTACCTTTTCCTTATTATCTACTCTGCACAGGCAAAGGGTTGTGCGCCGAGACTTGATGCAAACAACATTGTGATGTGATATATGTACCCTTTAATATACGAAAGTAAGATCGTAAATAACACGTTTGATGGTCGGTGCACACACACACTTTTATGTGGCGAATGAAACATACTAAGTACATGCCTTCAGAGTAGATGATGAGTAGTCGGGTGAACTGACAAGTGAAAATGGTCACAAGCATAACTGAAAAGTCCTACGTAGGTAAGTGTGTAAGAACAAATCGTTCACAACTATATCCAGGCATGCAGGAGTGGGCCCATTCGAAAAGAAATATAATGTATCGTCACTTTCCGATGTCAATGAGACACATGTACCTTTGGGTGGAAATTCAACCAAATATAAAAAAGCTAAAAAATAAAAAATAAAAATGGAAATGTCTACTGCACCCGGTGTTCCCAGGCGGTCACCCATCCAAGTACTATCCGGGCCCGACGTTGCTTAACTTCGGTGATCGGACGAGAACCGGTGTTTTCAACGTGGTATGGCCGTAGACAGATGTCAGCGGCAAACTTTACCTACATATACACACAGGGTAATGGGGGAAGGGAAACTGCCATGAAACAGCTTTCTCGCGTTTTCAGTGGGTGTACACAATGATGTGTTTCTTGATTTGGCTATATCTTTACACGAATGAAGTCTGGCACTTGTGATACACGTCAACACTGTTTCTATGCGCATCTGCCACGAGAAAGGACACATTTGTTCGCCCCTGCTCGCCTGAAACATTCAGTTTTCGTCCCCCAATAAAACCATGCATGTAGTAGCCTATATGTTGTTTTCGAATAAAATTAACATCAAAACGAGGAAGGCCCATACTGTCGTGATGCCAAGAAAGTCGGGTTAATCGTGGCAGGCAAAAATATTTAATCTGTGACGATCGCGACTGCTGGTATCTGAACCTATGTACTACATTTTACTCTACACATGGGCGTTCGCGACCCGCTTGTGTCCTGGATTCGCGTCTTAGCACACTGTTTCTTGAGAGAAACATCCAAGTTACTTAGTACTTATGAGACAAAGCAAATTTCAACTGAAAATGTAGTGCCCCAAATCATGTGTTCAGTAATAGTGTCAAATGTTTTCTGTCGCAAAATGGCGAACTTGCCAGAGAAACGTGCTTCATTGCCTTTGTTTGGGCGCTTGTTTTAGCTTATCAGAGGCAGTAACGAGGGGTGTTGTGGTTTACTTTCATAGTTAGATATCTTGAGAAACGACATGTAACATTTGAAAGATTGAATTTGTGTCTAAAGGCTCGAAATGTGCTTTTGAAACAAGCGATGTCTGCATTTTAGACGCGATGGCTTCATTGAAAATAGCCCGTGTGGCTTCAACATTCACCTGTGGTTGTTGTTATTGTAACAGACATGTAGCCAAATGTTTTTTGCATCCAATCATGTACTTACATTGGAAACTTTCCCCGATTAAGAAGTGATTATTAAGATACAAATGCACGAGAAAGCACACGCGCTCCCGAGCTTGCAACTATCAGCCACAACAAGCAGGGTGTCTCCTCCGACGTCCGCGCCGCAAAAATAGTATCACCCGGGCTGGCTGTCGGGGAGAGGCATTCGCTCTCTGTGCTTCGTTTGTAGCTGACGTGACTTTCTACACTCAAACCTACCATTATGGCTGATGTTGCTGCTGCCCCCGCTGCTGTCAAGACTCCCAAGAAGAAGGCTGCTGCCAAGCCGAAGAAGGTTGCTGCACATCCTACTTATTTGGAGATGATCAAGAAAGCTATTTCATCCTTGAAGGAAAGGGGTGGTTCTTCCCGACAGGCTGTTCTGAAATACATCCTGGCCAACTACAAAGTTGGTGACAACCAGGTCGCCATCAATGCTCGCATCAAGACTGCTTTGAAAAATGGAGTCAATAACGGCGCACTGAAGCAATCAAAGGAACTGGAGCTGCTGGGTCCTTCCGTCTTGGCGAGGTAAAGAAAGCTGAAAACCCAAGAAGGCTAAGCCAGCTGCCAAGCCAAAGAAGGCTGCCAAATCTCCCAAGAAAGTCAAGAAGCCAGCTGCTGCCAAGAAACCTAAGACAGCCGCTAAGAAGGCCGCCAAGTCACCAAAGAAGGTGAAGGCTGCAGCCAAGCCAAAGAAGGCAAAGACCCCTAAGAAGGCAGCGGCCAAACCCAAGAAGGTCAAGACCCCCAAGAAGAAGGCAACCAAGCCAAAGAAGGCATAAGCTCTCTTTGTCTCGCCTTCGCTCCACATTTCTGTGGTCCAAAGGCCCTTTCAGGGCCATCCAAATACCCCAAAAGAAACTTGAAAACAGTGATAACAAAACAATGCTATTTATTTCAGCAGTATATCAGTAAGAAAGAATGCGTTTTGTGATAACAGGTATGGTGTGAATGATGGGTTAGACTGATCATAATTAAAAATTCAGCCTTAGCAATAACTTCTTTGCCCGACAGTAAGTACACAGAGAGGGTAGCAATACCGAGGTACCCATCAAACTCAAAGGTGAGGCAAATGCCGTTGATCAAGGAGGCTGCCTGTAAAACCTATACATTGAGCAAAGAAGGATTTGATGAGTATGTTCCTAAATTGATATTATAGTGGGAGTTCTAAACCCCTATCTAATGGCCGGTGTGTTTGGTTTTGTTTTTACTTACACCCAAGCCCAATAGCCCCAACAAAATACCTAAAACATACACATTGAGCAAAGAAGGATTTTATAAGTATGTTCCTACATTGGTGATATAGTGGGAGTTCAAAACACTATATCTTAAGGCCGGTGTGTTTTGTTTTGTTTTACTTACACCCAGCCCCAAGAACCCCAAAAACTAAATAAATGGAAGTAAATAAAATAAACAAAGGAAAATATACGCAAGATCAACAAAAGCTTAACATAAACAAAGCAATTTGTGAAGCAAAGAATGCAAATTATACGTGTATGATGTAAAGTGTCGTTGATATCAGATATCGTCAATGCAGGGTTCCCTATGCGTGTAGCTACACATGCACGTTGACATCCACGGGGTGTTTTTACCGACACACGTCTCGCCTATGCACGACTTTTCACATAGGGTGGCAAGAGTTGTGCACCCTTTATCGTGAGAGGCGTGTGAGTTTTGGATTCCCAATCCATGCAACGCGGCTGTTATGTGTCGAAGTATAGGTACGGAAATAATTTCTAATACATGTACTGAGTACGGCTGCGTGACTTAGCTAGAACTGGAAACATAAAATAGCTGACTGATGCCATGCCATGCCATGCCATGTGTGTTTTGAAAGCATGGAAACAGCGTGGGCTTTGCTGTCACAGCTTTGGAAGTCATTTTATTTCAGCAAACCAGTGAATCCTATAACAGGCGTTCAATACGATGTACCTTTTCTTATTTATCTACTCTGCACAGGCAAAGGGTTGTGCGCCGAGACTTGATGCAAACAACATTGTGATGTGATATATGTACCCTTTAATATACGAAAGTAAGATCGTAAATAACACGTTTGATGGTCGGTGCACACACACTTTTATGTGGCGAATGAAACATACTAAGTACATGCCTTCAGAGTAGATGATGAGTAGTCGGGTGAACTGACAAGTGAAAAATGGTCACAAGCATAACTGAAAAGTCCTACGTAGGTAAGTGTAAGAACAAATCGTTCACAACTATATCCAGGCATGCAGGAGGCCCATTCGAAAAGAAATATAATGTATCGTCACTTTCCGATGTCAATGAGACACATGTACCTTTGGGTGGAAATTCAACCAAATATAAAAAAGCTAAAAAATAAAAAATAAAAATGGAAATGTCTACTGCACCCGGTGTTCCCAGGCGGTCACCCATCCAAGTACTATCCGGGCCCGACGTTGCTTAACTTCGGTGATCGGACGAGAACCGGTGTTTTCAACGTGGTATGGCCGTAGACAGATGTCAGCGGCAAACTTTACCTACATATACACACAGGGTAATGGGGGAAGGGAAACTGCCATGAAACAGCTTTCTCGCGTTTTCAGTGGGTGTACACAATGATGTGTTTCTTGATTTGGCTATATCTTTACACGAATGAAGTCTGGCACTTGTGATACACGTCAACACTGTTTCTATGCGCATCTGCCACGAGAAAGGACACATTCGTTCGCCCCTGCTCGCCTGAAACATTCAGTTTTCGTCCACCCAATAAAAACCATGCATGTAGTAGCCTATATGTTGTTTTTCGAATAAAATTAACATCAAAACGAGGAAGGCCC